ATAATTTTATAATTTTATAATTTTATAATTTTATAATTTTATAATTTTATAATTTTATAATTTTATAATTTTATAATTTTATAAATTGATTTATTGGGGATATTTTTAACTGTAGTATTTTGAGTTCATGAATGAGTGGAATGTGCGATTTTGATTTGGAGGTGAAAATGAGAAGCACTTGAAGATAAAAGAGCGATTAAATTTCCAGCGCTGGAGGGGAATATGATTGGAGTATGAGGGGATGATTTTGGATAATGTGGGGGAACAAACGAGCCAGGGTGAAGTGTAGGTAACACATGGCCCGAGGGTTGAGGCGTCAGTCGAGGTGACCCGATATTCCACGGGCGCATTCCACTTGCAACCCTCAAACTATTATTCCCTGTGCCCCAGCATTACTGGAATTTGGCACAGCATTTCACCCACATCAGCATCGTGCTCTCATTTCCACTCACTCAGGGCTGGAGAATTTAGGAGGGTCGATCCAAAGAGGGTCGTCCATTCTCGATATCTTGTCGATTTGTTTGAGTTTGAAATTTTCGTGACTCTCGGGGGTTCCCAACTGGAGCCCGACGATCTGTTGAATTTAGGGGATGAGTCTCCGTGTTGATCTACTATTTTATCTCTACTCCAGCAGAAATTCGGACTCAGCTATAGTTGGTAATTATATCAGCTCGATCGGTATCGATTCATTAATTTTATCGAGAATTATTCATCCTCGGGCATTGGGGAGTTACAAAGAGAATTCTGAAAGTTTTCCCCTCTCGAATTGTATTTTCTCCTGCGACTGACGTTTACCATTTGGTTACGACAGTTTTCCGATTTTCCGGTGGTTCCTCTTCGATTTTTTTTAAAAAACCAATCCAGTTATTTTTCAAGGCAGTAATAAATCAACAATTCTGTGCACGAAGTTATAAAAAACAGAGGCAATTTCGCGAGTCTAATTGAACTTTAAAACAAATATTTATACCCATAAGCGATCAATAATAACGAATAATAAATATCCTCAGGTATAAGAGGGTCCTTCACCCCATAAATCAATATTTCTCCATAAAAATAAAAAAAATAATTGCCATTTGTTGATAAAATATATCTCCAATTTGCGTAATCCGACCTCGAGAAGAATTCAACGAAAATTCCAATTAAAACAATCTTTCCCTCATTAAGTTACCGACGGCCGTGAGAACGGAGTGGATAATTTATATGAATGCACGAAAAAATAGTTGGAGATAAAAAAAAAGGAGAAAGATAAGATGGAAGCCTCTAGTTCGCAAAGTGTACAGTCGCTAGTTGCGATCGATACAGCGGTTTGTAGGTCAGGGTCTCGATACACTCGCTCTACTCGCAAGTAGGTACGTACTTGGGGAATGCACTCGAAACACAGAGCATGGGGGGTGTGAGGGGTGTGGGAGTTTGTACCCGAGGGGTGATGAGGGGTGGGTGGGCTGGTTTGAGTCAATTCGTTGGAGGCGGTTTTTGCAGAAGCTCAAGCAGAGGCATGCACGTACTTTTCGGCATACTTTTTTCACAATGACAGTTCTCACCTTCGTTCGAGGGTTCACCTTCGCTTTTGTCTTTTAACCTACCCTTTCCACCACCCACCCACCCCCTCGTCCACCCCCTCATCCACGTCCAATTGATTTTACATTCATTACGCCACATCAGAGAATGAGACAAATATTTTTTGGGGCGAGGGCACGTTTCATTTTTTAGGGTTTGAATAATTTTGCAGTTTGGTTACTTATTAATTGTTTAAAATATTAATAATGTAGTTGAAAAAATGGTTGTGTCTTGAATCGATGATTTTGATGATAAGTCGACGGGTGAGAATTTTTATTCGTGTGATTTTTGTTTTATCAGTTTGCTGTTGATTTTTTTTTTTTGTGGCTAATGGACTAGTCGTGTAATCCTGAAGGTCAGGATTAACAGAAGACCAGTGCCATCTTGGAAGTCTCAAGGGATGTGTAATATCAGTGGTGTCAGGTCTATTACTGGAAATCTGAGGAGTTGGGACTGTGGGAGATCATTTTGGAAGGGCTACCTAGAGATTACAGGAGTAATCAATCCTGTTTGGGGTTCCTTCCGAAGAGAGTTTACGGCTTTTTGTTTCATGCGGAGCGTAACTTTCTCCCTGAGTATCTACAAACTTTGGAAGCCACGTGAAAATCCTGGAAATTCGGGAAATCACGGGATTCAACGGAAAATCTGAGAGAAGTGAAATTAAATTCAAGGGAATAATTAACCCGCAGTTCCACCGTTCCCACGAATTTTTCCACCGAGAAAATTCCCCGAAAATTCAATGGAAAACCCAATTACTCCCACCGACGAACCGAAAGTTTAATTATGTTCAATAAATTCCATTTTTTCTTCATGTATATTTTTCTTCGTCTGAGAATAACCCAGGTAAAAAGAAAAATTGCAATCGGAATATTTTTTCCAAGTTTTCAAAAAATTTCTGGAAAACTTTTCAGAAAATTTTTTTTATGGAACCAAAAAAAATCTGAAAGCAAAATAATTTTATTTTTTGGAAAGGGTTTTTTGTGTTTCATAAAAAAAAATTTCAGAAAAGTTTTCCAGCAATTTTTTGAAAATTAGGAAAAAATATTCCGATTACAAATTCTCGTTTCTGCTCTTTCAATTCGCACTTAGATTTTTTATCCGGAAATTGCGGTTGCGCTTAATTCCAGGTCTCCATTGATCAGAGTAAAATTGCATAAATAATAATAACAATAGCGTGCTTGCAAGCAGAAAGGCGAGAGTGATAGAGTGTTGAGGATATACCGGCATGGGACTGACCGTCGTGGAGCGGATCAATCGTGTGGATCATCAGTTGTAATAGGCCGTGCCTGAATTTCGCATGACTTTCCCTCGACGAATGATGCTGACCAGGATGTGACATTTGCTCACATCCCTGTCCACTGCTGCTTCCACCACGACTGCTGCAGCCGGCGTCTGCATTTATGGCAACACCACTATTACCGCACGCACCCGACGTACCGCCAACACTCGTCTCACTGCTGTTTGTTGCATTCGGATGCTGTTCCACATGAAACAACCAGAAAATTATTTTATTAACTGGTCTTCCGTATTTTCCGCTTTTTTCAATTTTCATTCAACCATCCATTTCAAAAAATTCATAAAAAATACACAAAAACCTTCGAAATTCCCTCTAAAAAATTTTCCTGCAGATATTTCTCGTGATAACTTACAACAAATTTAATAAGAAATAAAAAATAATGTAATCGTTACAGGGGAATTTAATATATTATTGCAATATATATGAAATTTCTATAAAATATCTAGAATATCAATCAATTTATATTTATATGTTTTATATTAAAAATATATGATTGTCAAAATAAATTTCCTCATTGTTTCTACAGCATGCAATGATTTTTATACGGACTAAGAGATTCAGAAAAAAAGACAAACCGATGAGAAATGAAAATTTTTGGGTGGACACTTGATTTTTTGGTAATTGATTTGAAATTTCTGGAGTCGTGTGCTATTTATTCATCCTTCATCCTCGGTTGTTATTGCTCTTTCACTCTGATTGTCTCCTCTGCTCTTAATGAATGAATAGGATGAAGGGAGCATCATGTTATTATTATACTGCGGTGATGTGGTGAAAAGCTAGAAGGGTACGTATGGTCACACAATGAAAACTTCTCGAGCTAGTTGCTTTTGCGAGAGGGTTAATTGCAATGAGTGCCGGAGAAGTCGGTCAGCTGCCTTGTAAGACTCCCTCGTGCATATACAACCCGTTCCTTTTTTTTTTCCTCCCTCCTGAATATCGATTATACCCCGGGTTTAAAGCATAAAACGATCCTAGGCCTCACAAAGCCCTCTCAGCTTTGTATTACAGAATCGACCTTTATAAAAATACATGATCTACATTTTTTCTATCTCTCCGTATCAAATATTTTATGAGCACTTTAATGCACCCGGGATAAATCGACATCATATCGCAGAATCACTTCTTCAGCGAAAAATATTCAGCGAATTTATCGTCAATTTAAAATATACCGTAAATTATTTTTAAATTTTTGATTGGGAAATAAAAATAAAATTCGGAGATTTTTGATTGGGCCTGTGGAAAATTTCTGGCAATTAATATTTCTCGCAATTAACACTCTGGTTAATTGACGATTAGTGATGGGGGAGTCATTATCGATGGCATTATGTCGAGTTTACTTGACACTTTGGAAGTTCCCGGGGGATGGTTTTTTTTTTTGGTGAGAACCTCAAGGGGTTCAGGCCCTTGGAGGGTTGGAAAGTTTAGGTGATTGGAGAGTGGGTCGAGTGGGGCCGAACCAGTTTGGAGATGTGATCAGCTCTGGACTGAATTCAGTTTCCAGACACTCCAGTTTCCACTGGAGAACTCCCAAAAACTTGGGACAGATGGCCAACATTTTTAAGAGCTACCCGGATTAAATGAGAAAATCCCAATTTGAGGATTTTGATTATGAAATTTTCACGGGTAAAAAATCCCCACTAAAATTCCCCTCAATCTTCACCGATAAATACCATAAGCCCTGAATTTCATATTATTTTACATATTTATAAATTCATTACATCTCCAACATTTTCCGCGGAATTACAGAAATTTGCAATGGGATATAATTGAATTTTCCCTGAATATTCATTTTACTTTAAACTTCATGTAATCGTAGAATTTCCTTATTCATGCCACCAAAACCCGGAACGGACACTGAATTCCCCCAAAAGCAAGAGATTCCCTCAAATGCTCCGAAGAATTCCCTGAGTTTTCCAATTAAAATAAAGAAATCCCAGACTTTCCACTGAACCCGAAAATTCCCTGAAATTCTCTCGAAAATTTTCCAACCCCTGGATTTTTCCGGAATTCCCTATAGATATGAATCTGATCCCAGAATTAAACCCCTGAAACTTCTCCCAAGTGGATCGGAACTGTCGGGTCTTTCGCCAATTTTTTTTACCAGCGGAATAATCATGACATTTTTTTGAGGGGGTGGTGGATTACCCTCCCCTCAAGACCACTGAATAATGCAAATGACGACAATGAATTGAATGAAACGGACTGAATGCCTCACAAGACGATCTACCAGTAAGATAAAGCCATACTCTTGTTCGACTATAAAGCTTCCTATTCTACTTGTCTAGTGAAATACGTACGACACTGGTCGAGCTGACAATTTTCACTAGTTACCCACCCCCATTGTCCCACCGATCAATTATCCACTCGTCCAATTACCCTACCCCTAGCCAGTGTAAAATTAGAATCCAGTGTAGTGCAATTATGAAAACCCAAAATATCCGAGACAATCAACAAAAAAATCAAAATAAATATAATAACGTTGAAATTACCGTGGCATGAAGCTCTGAAGCAAATTCAATCCTTGATAAGTGAATTGATAAGAGTGGTGATAAAATTGAAATGATTTTGCTTGCATCTGCTAGGCGTTAGTTTAATTACAGTTATAAATAACTTATTTATCTAGAGTACTTGGTAATGTTATCTGATGGTTGTTGTTTATGAGATAAAGGAGGCTATCAAAAATTAAATGGATAATAGTGATAAGAAGAGAAAAATGGAAGATTCACATGCGACTCACCAATGCCTGGGCAGCGCTCTGGTGCTGCAAGCAAGAAACACCGAGTTACTGGTTAAGTCGCAAGTTTATGATAAATTGTTTCTCCTAGTGCTCAACCTGATATTTTTGTCACTCAAGTTTTGGAGAATTGATTAATTTTTATCAGGTTCATCTCGCGTGTTGGGTGCTTCCGAAATACATTCGATACTTTTTTTAAATATTATTTTTTATTGTGGTTCTTTTTGTGGGGTAATGCTACTTGAATTTTATTCCCCTTTTTTTATATTTTAGTCCATTTTTAAAAATGGACTAAAATTTTCAAAAATTTGAATCGGAAATTTTTTTATTATTTAGATGGCGTATTTTTTGAGAATATTGAAAAATTTAAAAAGTAATTAAGAAAACAGTATAATTAAAAGAAAAAATTATATTTGCAAAAATTTCGAGAAAATTATTTAAAAAAAATTTCCGAAATAAATTTCCAAAAAAAAATTCTGAAAAGTTTTCCAGAAATTTTTTGAAAATTTGAAAAAAATATTCCGATTACAATTTTTCTTTACCCGGGTTGCTACGGAAATATAAACAATTTTTTTTTGTTTCAAAAAAAAATTCTGAAAAGTTTTCCAGAAATTATTTGAAAATTCGAAAAAAAAATTCCGATTAAAATTTGTTTTCCCTGAGTCGCTACGGAAATATAAACGAATTTTTTTTTGTTTCAAAAAAAAAATTCTGAAAAGTTTTCCAGAAATTATTCGAAAATTCGAAAAAAAAATTCCGATTAAAATTTGTTTTCCCTGAGTCGCTACGGAAATATAAACGAATTTTTTTTTGTTTCAAAAAAAAAATTCTGAAAAGTTTTCCAGAAATTATTCGAAAATTCGAAAAAAAAATTCCGATTAAAATTTTTTTTCTCCGAGTCGCTACGGAAATACAAACGAAGATTAAAATTTGATTGAAATAACCCATTTCTCCGGATTAACATAAAAGACGTAGTTATCTGATGAATGAACTCATAATCTCAATTGACCAGTGTCCCTAATCGTAATGCGCTACGTGTCGTTACCAGAAGTCGTTTGAACTGAAGGTTTTCCTCAAATGCTCTAGTAGAAGTGAATATCGATCAGTAAAAACCGAAGTGTTACACGAACCGTGCGCAAATAACGCGTCAGAGGCAATCCAACCGTATACCAATGTTGGAGGTCTAACGAACGAAAAATAAAAATGGTAGAAAATGAAAATAACGGGAGAAAAAGTTTAAACGTCTAAACCAGAATTTTATCCTTTTCCGTGTCATTAACTTTCCCGGCCAATTCGTTAAAATCCTTCTTCTGTTCTCTCGCCATTCGTTCCGTCCCCTTCAGTCCCTCATTTTCTTTTTTTTTTTTACTTTTTGTTTGTCCATTTATTCAGATTGTCGTTATCAGTGCTTGGACAGTTTTGGAGTTTTCACTACGAAATTTTACAGCTGGCATGTGCATTAATAAATGGCCTGCACGCCAATTTTCTCGCGCTGTTGGAGTTGGAGTGAATTTTTTTTTCTTTCTTTGAGAGTTGACGGATTAATTTTGAGTAAACAATTCACGGATTTTTCGAGGTGTTTCGCTGGAGTTTAATTAATGAGAGAATTTTACGCGGTGACGGATGTTTCCAGCTCTTGAAACGCATTTTTAGCACTTGGGATTTTATGGGAGAGTATAAGTTTTGGAAAATGTGAGGGACGTGTCAGTTGTATGCAATCATTTTATCGTGTGGTAATTATATATTTATTTGTATTAACTATTGAAAAATTATATGAAATCTCACACATTTCTGATTACTGAGGTTCTCGTTATTTTATAAATAAAAGTAAAATAAAAAATTGAGTTTACGAGTCGTCATTTGAAATCCCTGGATATGTGGTACCTGAATCCACGACATGAACGAGATCATTGCACTCGTTACTCTTTCGCTCGTCTGATCCTCACGGCCATTTCTACTTACACCGAATTTTCCCGGTTTCACGCGCCACAGAGAAAAAATAACCATAAAATGCGGTAAAAATTGCGGTGAAAAAAGTGCGGATATATCACATGGCTTACATCCCATGAAATATCCCTAGACATCCCCATAAACTTCACCAGAAACCACCAAAACTTTTCCTCGAATAGTCCCCGAATATTTCATAGATATTAAATTTCAATGTTCCGAGCACCCCCCCATTTAAAAAAACAATATCTACCCTGAGGAAATCGTCAAGTATTTGTCCAGAAATTTTCCATGGAAAATTTCGAGAGAATTCTCTCCATTTTCATTCTAAAACGATTAAATTTTCTACCAACAACTTCTCAAATTTTCCGCGCAATTTTTCGACGAATCAGTGAATGATTTCTCAACCGTTAATTTCCCATTAATTCCATACCCGATTCCCAGATATTTGTCACATCGGCAAAACGATAAAACCGGAGGCTTTATTACAAAATTCAACATGAACGTTGCATTTTGTCAAGTACATGCCAGACTAAGAGATGGAACTTGACACGCCGTCCTGGCACACACCCAAAATCTCGTTGCCCAGTTTTATTTATATACATCTATATACATAATATACATAATATCCACATTTTCAATCGGTAGAGGTGAATTCACGCTGGGAAATGGAATTTATATTATGGATTACGTGCCAACTTTATGGGAAATGAAGTAGTAATGAGTCAGCGACAGCTTTAAGTGAAGTACACGCTTGACTAGTGCAAGTAGTAAAACGTAAAGTGGGAGGGGTTAAGGGGGTGGGGTTTGAGCATCGAAAGCGAATCGATTGGTGCGGCTTTACCGTCAAGTTGCTGCAGTGCTAGTTTTTGTTTTCCCCCACTTGATTTTAAAAATCATCTCGAAAGCAATCCCCATCTCCCCTCATACTCCCCTCCCCTTCTCCCAGGAATTTCCCGCGATTTCAGCGATTTAAAAAAATGTTCTCCCAACGCCTCTCCATGGATTCAATAAATAATCATCAATTGATAATAAATTTTCAGCGAATGTGTCATTCAATTATTCCCAGAGGTAATAAATGACAATTCTCCATTTTTTTTTTCCAGTCGGCACCCATTCGATTACATCCAATTGTACTTCACGGAGGGGTATAGGAATGTCATGGAGAAAGCACGAGTCAACAATACCATTGCCAATGCCAATGGGCTTTTATCACTGGAATTCCCTGCGATATTTTTTGATCTTGCCTCGGTGATATCGAAAACTCATTCGGATTTATTTCGCTGACCAAAAAAAAAAAAATTGTTCAATAGATTTGCCATGGAATAAAGGAACAATAGAGAGAATATCCAGTGGATTAAACCCGAGGGGTCATGAATGCAAGTGATAACATACAGTACACCCAGATGTTATGAATAAAATATATTTTAAAAAGTCACACCCGAAGAGAATTCGTGATTGAAGTTGAATTAAAGATTTCCGAATGAAATCAAGTGTTCGAGTCAATCCAGTACCAAAACTATTGATTTTACGATAAAACATCACAAAACCTTTTTCCTGTGAAATTTAATCAGCTACAAAAAAGCTCTTTAAAATTTTCTCTGTAAATCGATAGCTTTCGAGATAAATCGATAAAAATAATTAAGCTGTTGTAAAAATTCAGGAATTCTCCCCTGCGGGCGTTTCCTGATAACAAATAAAAAAAAATATTAACAATAAAATAGAAATAGCCTCACCGATGGCATGAGCTGGTCCGTCGATCTAACCCTGGTGACTTTATTTCTGTACAATATCCTCTTGACGAGTTTCTCCATGGGCTGATTCCATTTCATGAAACTAACGTAGGCCAGATAGAAGCAGAACAATACAAGTGCCTCATACCAATGTATAAAGTTATCCCGAAAGAAATATATTAACGTCAGTAAACTGGCGCTGTAGAATGTGCAATCACGAAACAATGGCCACCATGTGAGTGACAATACTGTTTTAGAGAATATTGCACACATACCGATGACAAATAGAATATTAAATACAGCTGATCCAACAATGGTACCAATACCCACATCATCGAATGACACAAAAACACCAATAACCGACGTAAATAACTCTGGTGCTGATCCACCAGCAGCCATGAAAGTAGCACCAGCAACATCATCAGCAATCTCCAATTTTTCAATAATAACATCCAACGATGGAACAAAAAATTCATCACAGACGATGGCAAGGGCAACGAACATGTAGATAACACCGAGTAGATGAAGTATAACAGCACCACGCTGTCTCTCCTCAATAGTGAACAAATCAGCCGGAAAGAGTGGAACTTTTTCCTCAGTTTCATTATCAGTTCTGTTGTGTCCCTTGATGTGAGCATTCAAATGATGAATTGTACTATTAAAACCATCCCACGGTCCTTTACTCTGATGAACATTGTGATGATGACTCGCATTACCACCATTGATGTACAATGACGATGGTGATACCGTACTGGGTACAAGTTGGGCTGGATTATTTGGGGCAGGACGATGGCCCCTCGTGGACGATGTTGCTGCTGCTATGAGTAGAAATAACGTTGCCATCTTAACTGTTATTCCAATCGTGTGGACCGACATCATCGGTTCGATTTATAACAAAAAAAAAACATCGACAATACCACTGTACGCCATTTACCACACATGTAAAATATCAATCATTACGTGAACACATTGTATCAAACACGTCATCATTCATACACTTTCTTCACGCACACGTATAAATCACTAGATTAACATCCCCCCCCAAAAAAAAAAATTCAGTACCACCCACTCACTCCCCCACTGGCATGCAATTAAATTCAGTGACAGGTCAGAGTTGACACGCATATCCCAAACGAGATTATTATCACGACAACACCCCGGGGCCAGTTTGACGATTTGCCAATCAGCGCTGGGGCATTTTGACGAATCCCCCAGAGCCCAGTAAGTCCCGGGGATGACGAGTTCAATGGTTCTTACTTATTTCATCCCCCCCACCACTGATCTACAAATTAACCACCCAATTACCACCTTCACAAGCGATGAATAGCCATTTGTCTCCGCACTTACGCGGATCCAAATGAAGTCTTTATCAGGGAGCCTCGGGGCTCGAGACTCTCGTCCGTTGCATCCTCACGGAAAAGTGTATGTGTGTAGCTGCGAGAAGTGCGAGTAGGTGCGGCAGCTCCCTCTGCCACTTCCTCCGCTGCCTGTTTTTTTTTTTTTCTCAATCCGTACAAATCTAATTCCAAATGCTCAATCCTCAGATTTCACCGAATTGACAGTCTCACCCTAGCCCATTCAATTCTCAAAATTCCGTCCATCTGAATCACACGAATCCGACATCAGTCACTATCACGCATGGTCCGCTCATGAATTCTTATCAATTATTATCAATTTGTCACACTGCCATTGGAGTTAGCGGTGACGCTGTCAATGAAATAATCGTCATACACCGGTGGTTGTACACGAGATGACACCGATTACGGGTAATGCATATGACGAGTAACTGTCAGTGATTTTCTAGGAGTATCTACAGGAGCAGCAGAACGGCGCCGCCGCCGCCGCGATGCCCGCCCGCTGCACACTGGAATACAAGCCCATACCACCCCCTTGTTTTCCACGTTTAAACTTGCCTACGACGCTCCTGGTCTTACCATCGTTATCCTCCTCGTCCTTACTCACTTCTAGCATTTTACCCTCAGCGACCCCTTTCCACCACTCTTCACCCCCTCCATCCCTTTCCACCACTCTTCACCCCCTCCATCCCTTTCCACCACTCTTCACCCCTTCCATCCCTTTCCGCCACTCTTCACCCCCTTCCATCCCTTTCCACCACTTTCCATCCCCCTTCTCCTCTCGCATCGCCTCTGGATTGGTGCCCACACCCCTACCCCACCCTGGAAAAACTCCTGCTGTAGCTCCGATGGGGTCTCACTCCGACGACCGGTCAATGTTATACCGGACGAGGACGGAGCAGCCGGAGCACCAGCGCATGCGTCAACGCGACATTTGAGCTTTCCTGATGAACACTGGGGAAACGGTGGCGCGAGTGTACAAGTCGTGAGAAAAATACCCGAGGGTGGAAAAATGGAAATGAGACGGAGAGGGTCGGCGCATGCGTGTGAGTAAAATTACCCCAGATATTGCATGTGCGCACCCCCGCTTTTCCCGCCGGGGGCCTCCGCTCGATATTCCACGGTCAGATTTCCTGGTGCTGTCTCTCTTTTCGTGGATTACTCATTTTTTTTATGGAGCTTTCGGGGGCTCGGGATTTTGGGGGAGGCCGAGGGGGATTGATGTGTTGGGGGGGGGGAGGCGGGGGAATTTCGGGGGTTACGGTATTCAGGGGGTGGATTCGGGCATTTGAAAAATCTGGTCGAGTCTTGGGAAGGGAAATTGATGGTTATGTAATTTAAAAATTTTTCTGCATTTTTGCATTTGCTGAATATTGACGGGAATAAACAGGAAATGAAGCTCCGAGGGGATGAAAAATGAATTTAAGAGATTACATCGTCAATTCAATTCTGGGATAGAAGCCGCCGGCGTCTCTTGCCATTAGTCGGTCACAATGGGAATGCCATGGGGGCAGGGGATGATTTTAAGAGGCACACAAGTATTGTGTTTGGTGCGATGTATCGAGAGATAACGAGAACAATCGATAGTCGTCATTGTCAATGCGCTTATTCATTCCATATGACCCCGTGAAAATGAATCACGTATTGACGGTAGAATGACAAGTCGACGTCGAATGGTATCTCAACATCTTCGTATAATTACCGAGATAATTGGTGAATGAGTAATTTACGCATGACAGAGTATCGAGAGAATTATCGATACTGCTGTGCCTCGGTAGAATTCACGTATCTTAATTGGATCATTCACATCGACAAATACATTTACCCCCAGTGATTGGGAAAATCGGTAACGCATCAGAGATTATCCCAAATGGAACTTCAGCTGAGAGGCCGAACAAACCAAACGGAATTGCGATAAACAATACCAAATTATTGTACCCCTTCGGCCTGATTTTTAAAATTCAAACTCGATTCGAAAATCGAAGGTGCAGAATCCCCCGCAGAATCTCCCTTACCGACAAACGGTTGAAACCGTCAGTTACCCATGAAAAAAGTGATTCCCCGATTTGTGGAATAACGGAAAAGTGAGAGACTGCAAAACAGCGCCATCTCCTCTAATTACTCAAGACCCATGAGTCCGGGATTATTCGAATCGTCGGATAACTCAATTACCCCATAAAAAATCGGATTTCTTCGTAATTGGTAATTTCCGTAATTTGAATAAATCACCGGTTCGTCCAATCTCCCTAACGACTCGAGCAACTCAAGCCCGAGAAATCCACTTAATAGCAGTCTGCCGGAGTAATTTAACATTGATGATTTAGAATTAATTTCAACCGACAATAAAAAGAACATTTGGTGGTGCCATTACCCGGTTATTATTGTGAGAAAGTACCACCCGCTGGATATAAATAAGGAATTTTTATATTTCTTCACTGGATAGTTCATAAGAGATCATATATCAAGCACCGCTGGTCGTTATAGTCCGAGGGGTGGTGGGTGGATTTGTGAGGGGGGGCGCCACGATGGGGGCGCAATGGTGGAAACTAGAGCGATTTTAATTTGCATATATTCCGGATTCCCGGACAATTCGGTCAGGAAGCACGTTAAAATATTATAGTATAATGCTAGTGTATGCTGAAGAAAAACGGAATTATGTTTGGAAAAACCGAGGGGGTGAAGTATTGTGGAAATGGGGATGAAAAAAAATGGGGTGAAGGGTTGCTCTTCCTTCCGCGGCTAATGTGATCCGGCCAGCTCGTACGTCATTATAATTTTTACACATATGTATAAATTAATTGTGCAAGAGGACCTCGTTATATTCGGTGGCATATCACTGCATTCGTAATTGCGAATTGAGGGGTAATGATGAATTGTCGGAGGAAATGGAGGAATTAATGATTGATGACGGGAACGAATGTTTTTAATTAATGATGATGGACTTTAGGGACTTTTCTGATTTCTGATAATTAATCTTATGAAAGAATTTAATTATTTATTCGTACGGAATTGTTATGAATTAATTTTCACTTCGGGGACTTCCTGGGGAGGAGAAATGTTATTCATTGGGAAATGAAGAAGTCGGAGAAACACTAGGCGCCCGCGAACGAGGAAAAATGGCATGCCATAATTTTTTCTCTTGCATGTAATTATTAATGAATAAATTCCCTCCCTTTTTTATATTTTTTATTTTCCTCCTTCTTCATGAAATGGAAAAATGTCAACAGTTTGTTCACGATTTTCATCCACAGGAAATTTTCATCTCAAAAGTCAAATGAAAAGATTCAAAGAAATTAAATTTAAATGAACTCATTGAGTTAAAGTAATTAATTTTGGTGTATACAAGAAGCCGTACGGACAGGAAAACTTTTTCAATGTCTGAAAAGAAGATTCGAGATCAATGAGAAAGTCAATAAATTAATTACCGCTTAATTAATATTGATCACTACGACTCAACAATACTTGCATGGAAAAAAAAATGTCAGAGTGAGTCGACATAACTTCCACTGGAAAGCAAAATGAGTTTTCAATCGTATAATGAAAGTTTTCTCACCGTTTGAATTTGAATTACGTCAGACTTCTCAAGACCGACGAACGACTGATGAACGTCTAGGTGACGTACCTTGACTCCCGTCACATCATATTTCATTAAAATTTACCGATTTATCCACCGTGATTTATCGGTTAAACATCCAATTACTGTCAATGCGCCCCATTTTCATGACTTATCCAATTTTTAGCCTCGTCTTCTAGAAAATATATCAACAAAAATGTCACCGGAGTTGTATAACCTCCACGGTATAGTCTCCAGTGAAACTACCGATTCACAAACGAACTTGGTATATAGGGTGAATCAAACAAGCTTTCGATGTCGATTTCCGTCTTGAGTGAATACGCCGAGAGAAACGGTAGTCGACATTCGCGATACGAAATAAAATGGAGTGGATGGGAACGAAGTGGAAAGCGGTGCTCCAATTCAATCGTACCTTCCAATCGCCATGAACCAATATTCGTTGTCGTCTTCCTCAAGATAAAATGAAGAATTTTATTGAAACCTCGAGGTATAAAAGAAATAATCGAGAAAAAACGAGAGGGAAAAATGTGCGTCTCTCTGTTCAACCCCTCGTTCGACGTACTGCATACATTATTCAAACCTGCGCTTCATATCAAATGCACTGTAAACTAACATTTATTACTTCATTAAATTTATTTTACGCTCACTTCTGCGTGTGTGAGGGAGTTGAGTGGTGAATATTGAGTTGTTGAAAACTAATTTGGAGATCAAATGGAATTCTTGGAGGAATTATTTAGAATTTATTTGAGTGAAAGTAAATTTTTCCAGCGATTCAACTCCAGTTTTTTTTTTTGCAGGTGATAACTGGAGAAATTAAATGATGAAAATATTGGAATAGAAATATCTCATGATTGCCTCAGATTTTTTGGTAGAATTTTTCCATAAATTTTTCCATAAATCATTTATTGATTTATAATGTTTTCTCCTAGCCGACAGACGCACGGGGTAAAATCGAAATGAAAAAAAATCACTTTCCGCACCAGAGACCGAAAATCACAGCCTCCGGCTATCCCCATTAAAAAACGGCATTTTAATAATTCCCTCGAATATACATCAACAGCCCAAAAATGAAAGGCCAACAAAGTCGTGAAAAGTGTGAAGAAGTTCATCGGAAAGTTCATCGGAAAGTTCATCGGAAAGTTCGTCGGAAAGTTCACATCGACTTGACGTTGTTCAAAGTAGATTCCAGAGACAAACGCTCAAGAAAAAGTTTGTGAGTCAAGATTTTTTCCGCATCAGTCTCAAGATCATCTCTCTCCCGCACATTCCAAAGCTTGAATCCACTATTTTTCACCTGGAGGACAGGACAACGATTTCCCCCAGCAGTTATTAGCCCTGTGACATGGCAATTTTCGTTTTGATGTGAACACGTACAACCCGTTAATCTCACCCGAGTCACGAGTCTCTCCCTTCGAGTAATTACATAAGTACCATAATTCTCGCCTGTATATTCAGTATAAATGGTACCTGCGATAACAACATTTGACGCTGCCTTTGTATCAAAATAAATCAAAATAAATACACGGAGTGTATTTGATCACTCGAAATACTGTTTCCATACGCCTCGACGGTTTCAATAATATAAATATGGAAGCACATGAGAATTGAGTACTTGAATGCCCCGCGAACTAAAATCTCTCTGAAATTCCACTCTTGAGCTCAAACAAAGATGAAATATAAATACTGCAATTGAATGTGAGGAATATTTACATTGGAATATTCAATATTTGATTAATTCTTGTACGATCGCACGATAATAAACTTCGGCTTTTCCCTTGACGTGAAAATATATCAGTATATAATACCGGTGCTGAAAAATTATCGGCTATTTTTAACAAAAAACCGAACATTTTTAAGTAGACTAATTCTGCTCTTTTGAGTGGGAAAAAAAATTTAATAAACATTTTCTGTTTACGCACTAATGGAAGGAAAATGTTTACGAGAAGAGATTAGAGGGTTTTCTTTGGCGGGGAAATTCATGGAAATATCCAGTGCAATTAAAAATTGTTGTCGCATTTTCTTTTGAAGAGTTATGGATTGATTTAATTGGTTGCATTATTTGAGGACTAATTATCGGGGCTTGAATCGCTCGATACTATTTTGTACTGCGAATTCACGGGTTTGAGAGAAATTATTTATTTTTTGGAAAATTACCCTGAAATTTATTCCCGAGTAAAATAAATTCATGCATGAAAATTAAATTAAAATTAATTTTTTATCATTCATTAATTTAAATTAAATTAATGAATGAAAATATTTTTAAGGGATCTTAATAGTAATTGAAAAATTATGGCGAATGATTTTTTAATGCAGAGTAAAGCCCGTTTTTATTTATTTATTTTTCATCAATTACTCAGCTCCTTTGATTATCCAGAAGTTCATTAAAAAATGTGATAATGAATACAAAAGTAATTTTCCGTGATTTGTTTATGCTCATACTCGAAGTATACAAACAGCCCTTCTTAATGGAGTGCGGACAACTTCAAAAGAAAAGCCGTTAAATTATAAGAGCATGAAATGCCCGTAAGACGCCTCCCCACTTACCTCAAACTTAAAAACTCTTCGCAATCCGCACTCTCAATTTGCCTATAGTCTATGGGAACTTTTGCAATTTCATCAATGGAAAAATAAATTGCGACTTGGCCGGAAACGATGCGCAAACAAATGGGGAATATTTGTCCGTCAGTTGATACGCAATTATTTGGAGTCATTCAACCGTTAATTTTATATATGTAGAGTGAAGTATCCGGATGATTCTGGGTACGAGTATTCTACTGAAATATTTATTTTCCCACGATATGTGAAAATTTGTGCGTAGAATATATTTTTTTGTATATCTATCGGGAATATTTAAATTTTTTTGGTCACACGGAGAGTAATATTTTATTTGCAATATAATTGAGATATAAAATTTTTATTTTTATTTTAACATTCCTCCTGCGATTTCAATGATTTCTACAAAAAAATATTCAGCATTATTTTTTTTATTTCCAGTGTTAATTTTCATAATTTTCGTTTCAGTATCACCCGCTGAGAATGAGAACGAAAAATTCGCCTGGCGATCCGATACCCGACTGAAATTTCAATCTGCTCGGTCCATAAAAAGCCGATGCATCAACAAACCAAACAATCACCCATCAATCCCCCGGAAAAGTCTGAATCCCCGGAAAAATCACTCACCGAAAGATTAAATGTCGAGCAATGTCAACCAGGAAATGATTTATCTCTCATAAATAAGAATGATGCAGAAGGAGGTAAGAGTACAGATAAGACAAGCGGTGCAGCATAATACTGCCCTTATTCAAAAATTCTCGTCTCCAAGAGAGATCGGCGCCCAAGTGTCCAACGTACAAAAGTTTTCCCTTAAAAAAACCGAATGGAGATGAACGAGTGGTGAGAACGAGTGTCCCACGAAGTAGACGATTTAAACCCCTTTTCATCTCCCCCAATGTCCACTCGCAACGACAAGGGGGTGAAAAGAGGGTGGATAGGTGGTAGGAGGAGTGAGTTGGTAGGTGAAAGGCTCGTCAAGTCCCCGGAAAATATTTATAAACGCTTTTCTTCCGGCCCACGTCGCTTAATCGCTCCCCCGTGGGGTACGATGGAATAGGACCGGGACTGGTTTTTGCCCAAGGCGATCTTACAGATTCTCAAGAGTCTTGCCAGACCCTCTGGTCGGTCGATAGTGGCAAGGCTCATTATACTGCCACCTAAAACTCAACGATCCCTTTTTTTTTCCCCGCTTTTTCCCTCCTTTTTTCTATTTTTTTCCTCTTTTTCCCTCCTTTTTTTCCCACCAGAAACGATTCTTCCCTCACCCGAAAAAAAGACCGGTCTCTCCATTTCCAATAAACCCACATGCGCCCATACGTATGCAGAGAGGGACAAGAAAGAACCGAACAACTTCCCTGAGAGCTGAGAAAGGAGAAGTCACGAGAATGGGAAAATTTCCAAGATAAATAAACCCCCTTTCTCCAATGGGTTCAAAGAGCTATATTGCTGTGTCTTCGGACCCAATGGATGCCGTTGGCAAGACGAAGAAAAACAACTGGCTTCGTCTCCCTCTGTAATAATACCTGCAAAAACGTTTGATGAAGTAAACAGACTGCGGACTGAAATAAGAGCACCGAGTGCCGAATTTATGACAACTTTATCACAATATATGAGCGTCGTTGTTTCAGCGGGGTGCGATGTCGGGGGGTTGGGTGGAGAGGGAGGTAGGGTCAGACGAAAGTTCGAGTTTTGCGTCTTTTGGTGTGGAATTTTCAGCGTCGAACAGCGAGGCATAACCCGGTGTACAGCACTCGTGGGTGTGTGCACACACGCTCGTGGAAAAATAAAACGAAATGGAGAAACAAGGAAAGATGAGAGTGGGTGGAGGGGGGAGTGGGTGGTTAAAGAGGAGAAAAAGGCGAAAAATCTCACCGCCGCGCTGGAGCCGCGCTGGCGCGAGATGCGGCGGCACGCGGGGGCCGCACTCTTGGATTATAGTGGAAATACCATCCGCAAAATTTTCCCATGGGTTGTTTTTAAATTGTACTGTTGAGAGCAAATATATGGAGGTATGTCAGGTATTCGGTGTTGAATATCATGACAATGATTACTGATTTCGAGTGATTTTGTCGAATGTTTTATTTCAAATGCTCTCAAATTATTTCAAAAGGCTTTTCCATTTTCCTCAAATTTCATGACTTCACATTCGATTTTCAATAAATTTAACATTCCGGGGGGCTATTGCTCGGATTTTCAAAATTTTTAGGCATTCCCGTATCGCATCAACCGGAAAATTGGAAATTCCTTGAATATTCATAATAAATATTGAGGAACATTTTTAATAATTTCTCGAATCAATGGATCTGCATAAAAAATATATTTTCCACTATACCCGAGGGTATTATTTTTATTCCCTCAAACCGTTAATAAATTGAATTCAATAAAAATAATGAAATATAATTAAATAATTATTGAATAATAAAAAAAATTCTGCACCAAATTAAAAAAATGCGCTAACATTAATAAATAATCTCCAAATTTCCGAGATTTTCATTAAAGTTAATCCGTAAAGTTCCAATCAATTGGAGGAGGTGAGATAATTAATTGCAAGATGATTCGTGAGGGGGATGGGAGAATAAAAATTTCGAGGTTCTACATATAAATGGGGTGGGTAGGTGGGAGGAAGGAGGGGGATGATGAGAGGGTCCGGGTCGGTCGGCCATGCTCCTGCGCTGTAGCCCAGTGCCACCGGCACGGAAACCTCCGTCGTCTATCCGAGAGACGATGATATGTATAGCCCCCAGAAGAGAAGGTGGACCCGGGGAGAAAGGGGGAGGCCTGAGGGGGAGACCAGAGGGGGAGACCAGAGGGGGGACCAGAGAGGAGACCAGAGAGGAGACCAGAGAGGGGTATGATGAGGGGGAGAACCGGAGGCTGAGGCCGGAGCGACGGCGCAAAGCGTCGGGACGCGCGATGTCGAGGAAAAGCGTTTGGTACCCGTTGAGAGCGGCTCGTTAGTCGTCGAGGAGTCATTGACGTTGAACCATCGCTCCGTGGATTTAAAAAACGTGCGTCGAGTTCATAACCAGTGACGTACACCGTACCCAATTCCAATTAACCGGTGCAAGAGTGAATGGTTCATTGATTGAGTGCGCGGGGAAACGGGTAGATGTGAATAATTGAGAGGGGATTACGGGATATGGGGAATGGTTTTTTTTTTTATCTGATGTGGGGGTAGAAGGGGATGAGAGTGCTTTTATGTGCCCTGAATTTTTCCTGATTTTCCTCCAACGGATCCGGTGGCACTCGATCGTTCAGGGACACTCCAACGGGATTGTGCCGTCGTGTGTGTCCCATGTGTTCCCCCACTCGATTTTCAACTGAATAATCCCAGGGAAACGTGAAGTTCGGAGGAAGAGTACAGGAGATCGGGTACAAGTGCTTTTAGCATTGTGGAGGATAAATTGAGGGGGTGAGGGGGATTTATGCTGCTTTGATATTTTATAGTCGTCGAGTTTTTCTGTGAGGGAGTCGTCGATGGTGATGCCGTATACGTGATACGGTATATATGTTTTATATGATGTATATGTTATATACGTGCCCCATGCAAATTTTCACCGGGTGCGAAACGTTTCACAGCTGGATACGCGACCGTGAATCACGTCAGGAATATGTTGACTGGTGAAACCAGCGAATGTCAGTGTATGTTTGATTATTCATCATCATTATGTCGTTTAATTGTTTGGGCTGAATTTTTATTGGTTGACGTTTCAATCGTCCGTGCAATTTTTCACCGTTTTTTTTTTTTCGTTTTACCTATTTTTATTCTGGGGGCTTTCGCGGATTTTTCGGGGGCTTTCACATTTCCAGCACCAACTGCTGACCGAAATTTTTCCGAGGAAATTTTGGGGATTATTTTTTTGGATTCAATTTGTTGAGGGAATTCTCGTTTTGTTCAGGGTTTGGGGAGTTTTTTTTTCGGTGCCTTTGAATTATTTGGGATGTTTTGAGATTTTTTTTATTTTTTGGTTTTATGGTGACGGTTTAGTAGTTTGAGGTAGCAATGGCTCAGGGGATTTCGGTGGATTTGGGAATATCGATGTAATGATTGCGGGGATTTGGGATTTATATCAGGCGGGGGTTTTCGCCCGGGATTTTTGGGGCTCTTCTTCGCGCACTGATGTTTGCCTTTGATTTTTCAGATTTGAGTTTCATTCGAGTTAATAAAAAATCATTTAAAACGGGCGCTTTGCGGTGTTGAATATTTTTGGAAGATGAGGGAAATACGACAGAAATTCTCGTGGAGTGATACTGGGTCGGGTTTAAGGGATAATGGTTATGAAAATTCAGGTTTTCGGTGGAATTTAATGGAATTCATGAAGTGCCAGTGAACCATGAATATTCAGGACTGAAATGACAGGCTTTTCCATTTTCTCAGGATTTTTCATTATTTTCACGGGATAATTGAATTGAAAAATAAGTATCTCATTAATTTCCGGGTGATTAGCCCAGAAAATCTCTGGATTATTCAATTTTTCAGTGATAAGACTCCCGGAACTTTCAGGTGAATCGAGTTGATGAAAAATGCCGGACTCTGACCCTGAAAATTGAAATAAAAAAGAAAGCTTGAATTGCAAAAGTCATTAGAGATATTGGACATTAGTTCAATTGAATTTTCAACGGATTGAAATTTCGCGCAAATAATGGCTTGAATATTCACTATTTTCAGTTATTTTCATTGTCGTACGGACTAGGAAATTAGAATTTCATTGAATATTCAAGACACGACCTGATTTTTCAGTAACAAAATGGAGATAAACTTTATGGAAATTTCTCATTGTTAGAAATTTAATGGGTAATTTTTCAACAGTGATGCCAATGTTTTCCATTTTTTTTTCAATGTAATTCTATTTACTCATTATTGCACCTGTCAATCAATAAAATTTTGCGATCACTTCATTCTCCACTACGTCTACCATTTCTTTTGTATCAGTGCATGAACATATAATTAAATAAATTCAATCAACGGGCTTTCAGCTTTTAATGTAGAGATTTTTGAAAAGATTAAATTGGGGCATGGAATAATACAAAATTACCGGATTTTCTGATTTGCAGTTGAATTTTCGTTACGTGCAGCCATTTTTTTTTCTATCAAAAAAATTAATTGTAGGCGCAAATACTTCATAGTATAATATAAATTATTATGTTAAATTGCAAAATGTCCAATGAACATTGTTCTGACGGTCGATTTTCTTCACCCCCTGCGGCGACTGCGTTGGAGAAAATTTTATATTTCCGCGGATGGAAAAGTTCCGGAAAAATTATGTGTCAAGTCGCACAATCGGGAAGTGAAAGGTTTATTTCATTTATTTTTACGATGCGAAAAAAATTAGGCGGTGAAACACGAATACTTTCTTTTAATTCCATCAATTTTTTCGAGTCGACTCCAATTTTCGCTGGAAAAATCATGAATTCCTATGAAAAAATCCATGAAAACCGTAAATTTCTTCGGAAAATTAGCTTTTATCTCGAGACTGCTACGCGAGTGGTTCCATAATTTGTGTATTGATCTTTCCGTCCAAGAGAAACCAAAAAAAAATGGCATTTCGACTCTAAATTTTCATTTGTACAAGAATTTTCTAACATTTTTATTAAAATTATGATACCCATTGTTGTTATTTTTCCGCACACTCGTTCGAACAAAGCAGCGAACACTATATATTCGCAAGGTATTTAATAACCAAAAATGAATTTTTCCCAATTTCCATGAATTTCAAAATTCCACTGAAATAATGAAGATCCACACGAGAGCGTTGATCAGTAATTCTGTTTACAACCGGGTAAAATTCGGGTAAACACAACTCTCATAACTCCATAAACCTTCACAGAACCATGAGGCAAAACGATAACCCCAATTTCCTTCCGTACACGGAAATTTGTTGTGAAAGAGAGAAACCCCCCGATGTTTGAGGCTTCTGTTTGTACCGGGTTCTGTAATATTTCGCCACTGAGAGGGAATCACACTCTCGTAAACTATCTCTGACACAATCTCGCCAAATTAAATTACGAGTTCCAACAGATTTTTTTTTTCCACCAGTGACTCCCCCCAGCTGAATCCTCATCTCCCATTTCTTTTTGTCTCTCCATTTTCTTTTTATCCTCCACTTTTACACCAAGAGCAAATCCTTTTTTTTTCGCCTCCGTTTTTGCGACACTCGTGACAAGAGCCCATAAAAAAGTGACTTTTTTATTCATAGAAAATAAATGAATATTATGGGAGAGACAAAGAAATGGGGGATGGTGGTGAAAAAATAAGGGCTCAACCGGGGGAAGGGTGGAAAAGGGAATTATACAGGGTGACCTAAAATCAGGATTGGCATTAATTATACAGACGCGTCTCTGACGGGAAAATGAAAAAATCGGAAGAAAGAACCGGTGGGAAAATAATTCTTGAGCTCTTCCATTAACGATTCATCCAAAGATCGCCTACCCAAGGGGGCACTTAAAAAATCGGACTATCCCATTTGATTTTCCACTTGCTCGAAGTACATTTGCAAATTTAGACTGACATCCAAGTATTTCCACCGAACTCCTCAAAACTTCACCGTAAAAATCACGACAAGACCCAGAACTCTCATCCACCCCGAATATAATAAATTCCGTCCAGAATCCATCCCCACGAGGAGGTTAAATTCCGCCTCAAGAATTGGAATGTCAAACTTGAAATCAGCGGAGTAGAACTGGCGCTGCGTTCTGAAAAAGAATTGAAATAAATTAACTGGGTATGGGATGGGATGGTAGAATAGAAACTATGGGTGAAAGAGGTGAAGTAGAACTAACAAAGTAGATGAAAAAGCTAAACAAAAAACTTTAAACGACTCTTTGGATTTACAGAGTCGACGACGACTGCGAGGTAGAGAGGGAGAGAAAAAAAAATGGGACTTTGGTGAGTCCAGGAGGCAGGATTGAGGGTTGATGGAGACCAGGGTGAAACAACTACAACACGTAATACGTGAAATGTTTAATGGAGGAGGCAACTGACTGTTAAAACTTGGGTGGAAGGTGGTTTGGTAGCACCAACTGGGTGGAGCATTAATTGGTGCAAGAGGCAATCAAGGGGCTGGATGGAGCGATGTCCATGCAAACGAACGCCGTTGATGGTGGTGGTTCGTTACCATTCGGTTGTGCCGAAGGTTATCACCAAGAATCACGGTGATTGGTCGTTGTGACATGTCCAAAGGTGTAACGCGTCAATAAGTTACAAACTTAGTGAATTGGATCGATTGGGGTTAATCCGAGCTGATGAAACGGCGATGTTGACTATTGAAACAGCTGATACAGTACAAGTACGTGACATATATGAATAAATCAGTTGTCGTGATTTGACGGTGAAATTCGTGAAGCGTGGAGACACAACTCATCGTCCAACTGGCATATCCTGAGACGTGAAAAACGGGGAAAAAGGGGAAAAAAAAAGGGAGAAACAGGAAGAGAGAAAAGAGTGGAGATCTGCATTGGTATTTCACCAGTGTTGGTAGCCAAGGGTGGAAAACGGAAAAAGGTGGTGAGGCAAGTTGTACTTGGCCTGTATGTAGAATACCTTGGCATCACCCCTCTATTCTGGAATCTCAGGGGGATGAAAGGGGATGTTTGGAGAGGAAAGCTGTGAAAAACATGACGCCACGAAAGTACGTAACTTATGGCCTCGCATAAATAACCAACACTGAGCTCGTATAACGCTTCTATTTGGGATCGATGCCGCTTTAGGTTCGTTCGCTTTTGGCGAGGCCGTTTATCCTGGACAAGAGCGTGGAATACATACTGACGTCGAGGGGGTTGGCTGGTGAAGACCAAATACATAGATTAGACGTGAAAAATCAAGTGCGAAGTTGGAAAAAGACGGAGGGATAAATATAAATAACGGCAAGACCAGTACATATATACGTGGGAGAGCATCAACTTTGCCGTCGACATGGGACTGTTGATGTTACTTGCTGCTGCTACCATCTTCTTGGGCTTCTGCCAGACCGATGAAAAAGGTAAGGATAGAGGTGGATTGCGATGGCAACGCCATGTGCCATCAACTTCAGACATCATTTTCTTTAGGTGTAACACATCCCCATTTAATATTCTCCGTCGTTCTTTTTACCTGTTTGATTATTTATTTATTTACATGAGATCGTCTGTCGACGGAAAAAAAATATATAAAACCCATTGACCTACATGTCCTCCATTATCCCAATTCCAGTTCAATGAGCACAAAATACAACTGTCACAATTCAATAACATTACCCTTCTCCAACCATCGCTGTCAGAGCCAGCTCCACTCTCCATTGAATTTCGACTAAAAAACGAGCAAATGTCTCTTCAAGTCTAGAAGTGAAAATACTCGCTCATTGTTCGGTGGTCCCCTGAATTATCCCTCAATGTTTGTTTACGAAAGTGCCAGGGCACACCATCACGCGAGTAAGAAGGCTCAGACCTGGGTTTTGCCGAATGCCACCTACTGCCATCCATTCTATTATCCCAGAGCCCGGGTTTGCACAAGGTGAAACACCAAAAGCCACATCCAGAGCAAAGTGGCTGTTATCGTTGCCATTATAACTCTCCATAAGTATGAAATGCTAAGGTCGAAGGAGACGGCGCACCATATCACCAGCTCCACCCTCACCTCGCTATACATAAAATCATTATAATCCAGTTTATTCCGCGATCCCCGTGGCAGTTTATGTTTGTTTAGGATAATCGTCGACTCGGTGGAACTAGACGCTGCAGGTCAAAAAAATACACTGGAATTTTTCAGTGAGAAGTCTTTTTATTTTAAATAACGACTGAGTGATATTTTTGGAGAATTATTTGTTGACGCATCGGTTGGTTCTCGATTATTCAAATTGTTATCGATTTTATCGGATAATTTCCTCACGAAAAATTGTGGAAATCTTCAGAAATCAAAGTTGAACGCGAAAAATTAAATTTGGAATTGAAATTTTATTGAAACTCGCAGAATTGAAAATTCAGGAGAGATTGCGCAGGTCGTGAAAATTATATGAAAATTCCCATTTTTCCGAGGACCTCTTGTTTGGAACGCTGAAAAAGTATCAATTACTGTATAAATTTCCCCCGCAATTGATACCGAACTCCGAGGGCAGTAATCCACCTCTCGATCCCTTTGAAGAGTTCTCAAACATTCGCGAAATTATTCCTCCTCACCAATCGGAATTCCCCGACTGGAAACATCTTCAAACTTTATTTCATAACCCCCAATATTTTTATTTTACGATATTTTTTATCGTTCGTGCCCGGTGAAAAAAAAAAATAGAGGCACAGAGAAATATTGGAAATAGTGAAGTTTATTCTTCACTCGTCGCCCCAAAAATATCGGATATAAAAATGAATAACCGACCAGCGGCGAATAAAAAATCCATACATCCATACCGAATGCATTGATCACACTGTCAAAAGTTGACTCGCGATTTGAGAATTGGTATCGTAAAATAATGGAGTTACCAATGCCGACGATGCCCCCATCCCCCTCGTATTTTCCTCCCACGGAGATGAATCGTGAATAGTATATGGCATTCGTTTGTTGCCCCGTACATAGGATTTCTCGATTCAATTACACGAGAGGAAACACGAATGTTTATTTTACGAGTTTCCATCACTGGCAATAGCAATACGTCTGTACCGAATTCGATATCGATCGACTTCCAAAAATACATAACACTGACAGTGAGAGCATTTTCCATTGAAAAAGTTAAAAAAAAAAAAAAGTGTCATCGTCCGAATGAACACCATTCACGGGAGCAAACGTTGGAGCACATGTTTGATAAATTTTAATTGGAATTTCATCAGATTCAATAGAACTTTCATACGTAAAATACTATCACCGTTTACCTCTCAATTTTTATCACCCAACAATGGGCAAACATAAACCCCCGTAACGTTGACGGCTGCATTTTGGAAAATTGTTCGCTACCCGGTGCATATAATCGGTGATGAAAAAAAAAATTCGCCGGGGGGAGTGAAAAAAAGCTAGGAAAAAAATGCCTCAATTCATGGGCTATGTCGATACATTGGATGTTCTGAGCCCTCCTGCAGTGTAACAAAACCAAGCGTTCCTCCTCGTCAATAAATAAACGTGAAACGAGAAACTACCTAGTGGGGAAAATACACGAACGACTAGACAGCTAGTGTCGGTGCATACAACACTCCACATCACTGGAAATTTCGTTTTCTCACACATGAATACCGTGGTTTTCACAGTGGATATCGGAAATGTAAAAAGTTATGGGGGGGGACAGGGGGCCAGGGGGGGCAAGATGGAGTGAGTTTGCTGGAATCTTCGGGGTTTATCTTTGTATCTACTTTTCTTGGGGAGAGGGAAAATAGGCAATTTAAAATTTCACGTCTCTGGTCTCTCAACATTAAGAGGAAGAAAAATAGTCGAATTATTTGCTTGAGTTAACTTTTTCATTAAAGCACCCGGAAAATGAGACTAGTTTGAGATTTAGGGGATGTTTTACAAAAATATTCTTTTTTTAAAAATTCGGTGGCGATTCTTTGATGTAATTATTTTTTTACCACTTGATTGGAGCAATTGACGATTTAGTTTCAGAGATATTTAACCCTCGAATTGAAAATGTCAGACGAGAGGTTGAAAAATCGCCCATCGCATTCAACTGGGTTGTTAGAAATTTGTTGAAGTTTAATCGGCGGATGCATGCTACTCAAGTTCTCAACTGCAAATCGAATTCGAGATGCAATTGTTTACGGAAATTGAGTTGAGTATTTTTCAACAGATGTGGAAATGCGCACTGAGAATTCAAATCTAATGACGCGGAGGGGAAAAAGTTTATATTCCAATAGGTTTACCCGGAATATCCAGGGATTCCAGGCATTAAATTCTATTCCCCTCACAATTAGAATATTCAATTAAAATAAAACGTGAATTTTAAAAATGAATAAATAAACAATTTATTTCATTTCCACTTTTCAATTGTTCTATAATAAAATTGGGAATGGAGAAAAAATTGAATATGTTTTACTCACTATTTCAATTACCTCAGGCTTTAAAAATGAATATCAACAAATATGCAATCACCTGTCATGCGAATTATTTTTCGCGTCGCTATTTTTATATATGTGGATTGATATCCGTGGAGAGCTGAATTTCCACGTGAAGAACTCACAGAATATTCCGGCTGACCATTGATTATATCCAAATAACTAATTAACCCATTTTCGCAAGGATTTGTTTAATTGCTTGAGCAATGAGCTTGAGAGTACGTGATGAAACTATTTCACTTGATCACTGTGTGCATTTCACGGTTTGAGAATTACTATTGAAACTCGACATAAAAAAATAAATGAAAATTAACAATTAAAAAGTGACGTGAGATTTTTATGAATTTTTCATTGAAGAATTGATTTTAAATTCGATTTATTGGATACGCGAATTTTTTTTTGTGATCGCACGAAACTCTGGTAATTTTTCCCACAATTTCTATCGAATTTTCGCCATACTGAGAGTTTGGATTTTGTCATGGCTCTGGACAAGCCCGAAACAGGACAACTTTCAAGCTATCCTGATACACCAACTTCACAACGCGTATGAGCGTTTCAGAACAGGATTAAGGAAGGATTATGCTCTCTATAGCCCGAGGAAGCTAAAACGCTCTATCCGGGCAAAGCGTTACGCAAACGGCAACGTAATCAATATAATTAGCATTAACCAGGAGATGCCGAACAATGATTAGAGATTCGTTCCATCAATTTCCATCAACCTAAAAAATGACGGATATTTAATATCCTCTTGAATTCAAATAGTTGCACAGTAATTTCACGAAAGCTGTGATGATACATCCACTTAGTCTGGTAACTTGATGAAAAAATATTGCCCCGTGGATTTCCGCAAGTCACATCCAGAAAATAAGTCGAACCGATTCCTAGCCCAAGAATAGCCCGTAATTTCCCCTGTTAATACTGAATCAAGGAGGTGATAATGCTCAATAAAAGACTCTACTTCCCGCGAATTACCACAAAACGGATGAGAGTTTAAAATAAAATTGAAAAGGAAAAAAGTACCACTGGAAGTACAAAAGACGTGCTGTGAATGGACAGGAGTTTTTTTTTTCTCTCACGATTCCGACTATTGGGAAAAGTCGCCCCTTTATCGACTCTCGATGTAGAACCCGCCTGTTCACTCTTCCCTATAATCATCTCCGGAACCTGTCTTTGAGCCAGTTTTATTGGAGTACACGGTTTATTCCCGCTCCATGCAATATCATCTAAATCACTCCTCCCACCCCCTTTTGCCAGGAAAAAAAAAATATTCAGACTGGAAAGGAGCACCATAAGCTGAGAAAAGAGATCCATTCCCTGAAATACATCGAGACGACAAACACGACAAAATATAATATTCAATATCAATAGATCATTCCGGATTCAGTTAAAAGTCATGGCAAATCATAAATTCATAAATACCAGATTTTTCTCTGATAATGAAAAAGCTGTGTATAACAAAATATATAAATCCAGTTATCGTCTATTAATAAACAAATTCCATATATTGTAAAAAATTAATCTCCGTTGCACACGGGGTGGATTTGGAAGTAAAAAAATAATAAATAATTGAAAAGTAACGGCTTAATATAAAAAACCAGTAAAATTCTTTTATTTGATTTCAGTGTCCCTGTATGGTGCAAGCTACATTCACTTCCCAGTGCAGGAGGCAAAGGGCGGCACCGACATAAGCTTTCGTTTTCGTACTCATCAATCCGACGCAACTCTCCTATTGGCAGCTGGAAAAACCGACTATTGTCTGATAAAACTCGAAGCCGGAAGACTGAAGGTTTGTGTCTCCTCTTTGACGATACCACCATTGTCTGGCTCATTGCCGATAGGCTTCCAACTTCTCCATTCCGTTTGCTCAGTATTTTGAAACTTTGAAGAAAGCGTCAGTCCGTATCACAGTATCACAGATGGTCTTGTGGAGTATAAAGGGGAATGAGACAAAGACCCTGAGAAACTCGAGTTTGAAATTTATCCGACTTGATACAGGGGAATCTCTTGGGGAAATATTTTCGATGGGAAACCAATCGGTTTCGGGTACACCGAATGGTCAAAAAATTAGAGAACTCGCGATCATATTGCAACTGATGGATTCGTTCCAATCAGTTTGAGTTATGGGTAATGAGGTGGGGAAATTAAATCGGATCCACAGGTTCTGGTGTGTACTCATCACATTGATCTTGCCGATTGGCATGTGGAATACTCATTGTACGTGAGGCAGCTAATGTTTGCCAAAAATAAAATTCACCTGGTGCTCTAACGGTAATTATATCCGGTGGGAAATTACACCGTGGAAATTCAAGTAGTCAACTTCATCAGGATTTTCATCAATTTTACGGGGAGACCAGAGTTTCCAGTTTCAGGAATTTCCGTCTGGAAATTAAAAGTTGGGAATTGAACAATTTTTCATGGCTGTCCGTTACCCCTGTGTTCCTATTTATTCATCAATTATTTTATAAAAATCAATGGAACTTGATGGAAAATATTTTTGGACGGGGGATTAATTGGAAATTTCGAATATCTTCGAAACTTTTAAATGAAACTAGAAAATGTTGATTTTGTGAATAATTAATGAAGGGAGTGACGTAAAATGGGAGAGATGTTGAAATAGGAGAAGAATAATTTCCAGAAGAGGCAATAAAAATTGTCGGGAAGTTGGCAGTTGGAGTTGGAGGATTGTGAGAATAATAGCGTGCAGTCTCTGATTTTCTGGCTGTAGTCTCGTTGTCATCATCTCGAGAGTACGATCGTTGAATTCTGGTGGCCATATCCATCGGTAAAAGCACATTTGAGTCTCCTCGAATCACACCATTCGATATTCTCCATATCCTTCGCCTCAGATCTGGGATTCCCCCCCAGTCAAAATGGTAACAGCTCCACTGCGCAATTGCTTTCACGACCATTTACCTCACTTGCACAATACATACACCACAGAATGCACCTCGGTTATACGTCACGGTGTGATACAACCGAAAACGATTTTACAAACGGTAGTGGGTTGAGAATGCCGTTGGATATTCAGAAAATGGTAGTAACACTGGGGGTATGAGATAGAAGGGTTCAAGGGGATCGCGGTGTCGTGTACAGAGCTCCGGGTGTAAGAGTAGAGGCGAAAATCTCATGTGATATGGGAGTTAGTGACAACATAAATCCGAGAGGTCGTACGGATTAGCCAGTTGGTACGTTATACCTCTCCTCGATGCGGTAATCGATATTTCCTCGACGTGCTCATACCAATTTCAACGAGGGAATACCTCCGCTTCCACCAAATCGAACCCAAAAGGAACTAGTGGACAGATGAAAGAAAAAAAGACAACAGCTGGGATCAAACGAAAAAATAGAAACCATTGACTGAGGAATGGACCGCGGAAAACCCTCTAATTTGCAACCGGCAGAAAATTAATCTTCCAATGTCAAGTTGGCCAACTTGAAGTTGTCCTGGATTTTCTCTAAAACTCATTTACATTTTATCTTCAATAAAATAATATATGTAATATTATTTTATTGAAGTTCTGCTATTTAAAGGGAGTATTTCTCTCGATGGAGAGATTGAAATCGGTTGAATTATGCCATCTTTCCGGTGGAGTAGGAGAAAATTTTGGTGGTGGATGATCATGGGGATGCAGATGTTATCGGGAATTGGGTCTACCCTGGATCAGCTGAGTAAAGGGAATAACGGAAAGACACGCGGAGTGCAGAGCGATAATTAACTCTTAACGATCTCAGTTGGCACGGGGTCAAGCCCGCGCGGTTCTAAAACGAATATCACGTTGCAAATTGACGTAATCCCGGGCGAGGGATCTTCTCCCCTCCTCGGATAATTAATCAAGCTCGCCTCCATCTTCCTTCTACCTGGAGCTCTCCTTCGGGGCTACTCTCTCAACCTACAAAACTGACGCTCACTATCTTCCACTCGAACCTCGGATCCACCCCCGTAATGACACGGCTGCTGAGGCTTCTTTAAAAAAAAAAAGTTGACGGGTGAGGGCATTTGCCCTTGTCTTCAACTCGTCTGACGTTTCTTCACTGGTTAATTAAATAGAGGGACTGCCAACTGGAGGGTTTCACCCGATTCCAGGAAGAATGCACTTGTCAAAATTTTCCAGAATTTCCCCCGAAAATCGTCTGGATCAAATCCACATTTTTATATTATTTAATTATAGCAGTTTAAATTCAATTTCAATATTTACTGATTTTGTGGAATTCCCGTTTTCTCACCCTTTATGAATGAAGAAATTCCTCGGAATTCCGGGCATTCTAGTATCGAAAGATAAAATTGGATTCTCTCTTAATTATGAATTCCGTAAATTGTTCAGTTTATGGGAATTATGAATTGGTCGATTTAAGGCCCAAAAATGATTTAAGTAATTGGTACTGAAATTACTTCTGACCCTTGACACGTCCATTGAACATTCGCGGCATGTCTGGAATTTCCGTTGACTCGCTGCCCGAAAACAACGAAATTCCCTGGAATTCCAATTGAAATTGAGCCTCACAATTAACCATCCAAATATCCGAACTCATTAAAAAAAAAGCCTTAAATAATTTCCAACGATCTATTCTTCCAATTTCCTAAACAACCGTAATTCCCCGATAAAAAATTTCGATTTCAATCTTCAATTACAAATATTGAACGCCCATAAAAAAATATAATAAAACCAGAAAAAAAAAAATTAAAATCGAGTTTCTTTTCCCCTTCTCAATAGCCTTTGAAATTCCTCGAAACCCGGAGCAGTAAATAATGAGAAGTAATCTCCTTCCCACGAAATTCCTCCCCTCAAAGATATTTACCATCTCCTAATGACTCCCCCTCGCCCCTTCTACCCCCACCAACCCCCAGACTTCCGTCAATCCCCGTAACTTCCTCTCGATATTTCCCGTCAGCCCCGTAAGGACGTGACACATGGAAAAGTCACGCGGCAAAAACAGAGGCCCTGGGGAGTGGAAAATATACCGTTTGGTCGGTTGAACAAAAAAAAAAAAACTTTTTATATATATATATAAAAACGAAGAGAATTAAAAATAGTCATTTCCAGTCGGTGGGATCGGGTCAGAATGTCGATAGCGCTGCCAGATCCAATCGATTCCGCGCGATTTCCTCTCAGCTTTCGGTATATTCATATTTAAAATCATAAAAAAAGCAAAAAAAAAATCGAATTTATCGGGGCAGGAGTGGGATAAGCCCGCCGCATCGATCTGCAACCGCAGGACAGATATACAAACCCATCAGCCTCAATGCGATGGAGAATTTCCATAAAAGGCCATTACGCGTGCATGCACACGAATGTAACGCGAGTGTTAGAGGGAAATTAATTGGTTCTAATTCTATCACTTGGGATTAAATGTTTCTGGGATTGGACTGGAAATTTCATAATGTTGAAAATTAAGGTGGGGACTGACAATTTGGTGTGGGGTGGAGGGGGTGATGGGGTGGAAGGGACGATGGGGTGGAAGGGGTTATGGGGTGGTGCTTTGGGGTGGTGCTTTGGGGTGGTGCTTTGGGGTGGCCTACGCTCTCGACGTGCCAAAGTAACGTATTAATCGTCTCAGTGTGGATGGGAATGTCGGAGGGTGTGCGAGGACTCAGGGAGAGGGATTTGGCACTGGGGTAAGTTGGCGCCTTTGGTACCGTGAAACTTCTCTGCACAGGGTGCACTGGGGGATCTTACTACGTTTATGTTGAATCTGCATACCCATTCGACTCCTCTCGAGGTTTCAGCTTCCAAAATACTCGCTACGTGCTACCACCATGGTACCACTTTTACCACATTTTTACTCAATTTTTTTTTTTTTGTTTTACTCTGGTACTCGTTTTTTCATGATCTTCCTCTGGGTTGGACTCGCGGTAACACGCGGTTCCAGGACTTCCATGGAATTATTCTAGTCAGTGCACTGATTCTTGGGTAAATAAATTTTGGAAACGGTGATTTTTGGTTTTAGAGTCGAAAGCGGATGGAGATATTTTTTGATCAGTGGAAAAAATTGGATTCTGGTAAATGTGATGGAATCTGGTGTTGAGAGATTTGTGTTATGTTTTGGTCTATTTGTCGGGGGAGGAGTAATGTCGATAATTTCTTGGCCTGAGGGGGTTTTCTCTGTTTTGGGTTGTTGAGAGTTTTTCCAAGAGGTGATAGAGTGGGGTAATGGATGTAAAATTGTGATTTTAATTCGGGGGAGTCGGGTACGGGAGGTGTTCCATGAATTTATGAATACATTTTCACCGGGTGGACTGGGTTAAATTCAAATTTAGTCATTATTTTTTGAATTACTTAGGATTTTTATGGAATTTCTTTTTCAACGCTCTTTACCATTCGCTTTTTTTCGTTTTAATTTAATTTGAGGGGGAGACTAAATGAGAAGTTGAGTGGATTGTGCGCTCCGGGAATTTCTCTTGGGTACTATTTTTGAAATATTTCGGGGCAAATGGTGAGTCAATTCCATCGCTTCGAAATGGTTCCAGAATTTTGGATGTTTCGGCTGGGGACAGAGTGGTATAAATTTATCCCGTGATGAATCATTTTTTTTTTCGCCAGGAATTATAAAAACTCGAGAACGACAGAGCACTCCAGTTTTTATATCCATTTTGTTAAATTGAGAGAAATTGAAATAGCTAGGGGAAAAAAATGCTCAATCAGTGAAACTCGAAAATGAAAAACTGCAATTAGTCGTCCTAAACGAAGTGAATTCCAATTTAATTCAACCGTTTCATTTATTCCGCTTCGTATCATATTCAATTCATATAATTACGATCGAATAATGAAAATAAAGCAATGATATCTGCAAATAATGGTGAAAAAAAAAACAATTAATATTCACACGTGAAACGCGGAATAGAGTTTTTCATTTTGTTCACGAGAAATAAAAATTCCGCGAGATTCAATAGTCATGGAAGAAAAAAAAATTGTAATATTCTGACATCTTTTTTTTTATGTGGTAAAAAACGGGTTTTTAGCGGCGAATGCATGGAGTTTGAATTGGAAACGGAGTTGGGCATAATGGAATAATTAAATAATTAATTAAACTCACTCTGCACGGGTTAATAAGTTACTTTGATGACAACAATTTCAAACATTTCAGATGAATTGCACCGAAAAAATGACGAATAATAACTCGTAATACAATTTATCAACAGAAAACAATTCCACAAAGTTAATTAATGACTTATCAATTGACAAGTCATTATTACCCAATATATAATTCATCTCCAGCGCTCAATTGAAATTAAAATAATTGTTTATCGATTATCCAAATATACCATAAGATATTGCACAATACTGCGGATTTCCGAATACTGAATTTCAAATATTTTGTCTCTGAAAATTCAAAACCTTAATTAAGTTGAATAAAAATATCAAATTTTCCGATTACCCTGAATTTCCGAAGTTTCTCCCATTTTTTCCATATGATTTATCACCGCTATAATTTGCAATGCGCAAATTTCAGTAGAAAATCCAGGGATCAGTATTTTTGTTTTTATTGTCCTTTCGCGTTCTCTCCATCGGTTTTTCCCCTCAATTCATCGGACTATCTGCGAATAGCCCGAGGATAAACAGAGATGTAAAGGAGGTTAATTCCGACAGATCGCTCCTTGGTAAAAAAAAAAAGAGAGGAAAAATGCGCGATGAATGTGCATGGCAAAACAATACTGCATATTCATTCGTACTTATTCGTCTCGGATGATCGGTAAAGGAGAGATGCCATAAAACGCATCAATTGCGGTATGACCAAATGCCATTTATTATGGTACGTAATAGCTTGAACCTCACATCTCACCTCACATGTCTGGTGCACGGCGTCGCATTTCTCATTGTTTCCATGATAACTGCTAAACTATCGGGATTTAATAAATGACATTCTCCAGTCGACGTGGATTATTATCATGCCTCGATCGTGAGCTTCCTATATTCTCCATCATCAATTCTTTTTATCTGAGACTATCAGAATGTCGAAGAAATATGCGGTGCAATCTGCACTGGAAATTTGACACATCACGTTGCCAGCACTTTACGGCTGCCAAATGGCAGATCCCAGAATTTCCTCTCGAATCAGGGAAAATCTACCTCTCTGATCAATCAACCGGTTGATGACGTCTTTTTAGGTTTCGTGAGGTACACCAGATGAAAATTACCGTTGAACTGGCGGAATATGAAATTTAGCATTCATAGGAAAATTTCAGTAATTTTATTTCTAGTGGAAAACATTTTTAGTGAAAAAAAATTTTTAGTGCTTTTCGTAATGGGGTGAAATTGAATTATTATTGAAACTTCAGACTTCAGTTTACAGGTGGATAATTAAAGATTGGTGCGGATTTTTAAAATGGATGTACAAGGTGCATATGGCGACCAGTATGATACGGTAAAACGGAACGATCGCCGCAGGGCTGTTATCAGCGACAGAAATTCGTCACAGTCAATAAACCAGTATATGCACTATTGAACAAATTCGATGAAGTTCTCAAACATCAACATAAGCACCGTAACCGCATTGAGGCACTTCTCAAACATTATTAATTTAACTGACCGTTACATGCCAATTTCCGTTGAGGTATTGCATTGAAATTGCGATGAAATTGCTCGTGAGATTTTGAATTTACATGGAAATGTCAACCACACGAATTTTCCAAACATCCAACGAGAATGAAAATTCAGATAATAATTCTAGTGTAAACAGTGTCTCTACAAATTAAAAAATTCAAACAACAATTTCCACTCGTTTCGGGTATTTGTAAAATATACACTAATTACCCCGTCACAGTGGCAATCAACAATAACCAATAAATGTTTAGTTGCAATTTTTTACTGCTCAGCAATTTCGCATGTGCATTGTGGTCTCTACTTCCCTCTGCACTTGCCGAAATTTCAATCACGCGATCATTGAGCTTCGGATGATTGGGGAAAGTAATTTTAGTAATTTTAGAGATGAGCGTCAACGTGAGAATGGAAATAAACAAATAGTGGGATGATGGGGAAGTTGGACCTGTCGCAATGTTTAACTTTGATGACATTAACTCGTGTTTAATGTTTTCTTTTTTTATTTGAATTTCCAGGTAAACATCAATTTGGGAGCTGGTGAGAGTGAGATTTCCAGCCCACGAGGATTGACGTTGAACGATCAGAGTTGGCATGAAATTAATTTAACACGACGCGAGGCAAATATGACGCTTCAGATTGACGTTATCCACACAACGAGAATGATTTTACCCGGTCGTTTTTTCGTTCTCAACATACTCTATGGTGTTTATATAGGTGGACGGGGTGATTTCAATGAGTTATTTCTAGGTAAGTGCAATAACTTTTTTCATACCCGCAGTCTTGTGCTGCACGCCTACAACCTCCAATAACGCAACATTCTCCATCATTTTATTCTCATATTTATCCGCATGAATGCCACCCGCTCAAGAATGGAGGAATATAATAACGGGAAATTGGAAATTGGAAGGTGCCTCGTTACGTCGACGTGTTATCGAACGAAAAATTACGGGAGAATTATTGTTCGTTATGGATCATACGGACCATTTAACATTGCATGCATTCTCTGACGCTCCAATTCGGGTTAAATTGCTGAATTTTTATCCCACGTTCGTGTGCACACATCGGCGATGAAACGTTCAATATCAAACACGAAACCCTACGAATTTTTTTCAACGCTAACAATTTTCATCTTTCTTTTTTTATTCTTTCTTTTACATTAATCATCCCTTTTACGTTTGGATTGCGGATTGGATATCAACGTTTGTATTCAAGCACTTTTCAACTGGGTCGAAGTATTAAAATTGATCCTTTGTTTTCAACTGGTTGGAAATACTTCAGAAATCGCAAGATTGAAAGCTGGCGATGGTGGAACTCGTATTTTATGTTGTGCCAGAATTTTTTCTGGAATTTCCAGAGAATTTTAATTTCACAAATAACGAAATTTCCATGCAATATCGTCATTTATACGAGACTATCAGAATTTATTTTTATTTTCCTCTCGAATTTCATAAATGTCACTTTATTCGTATGAAAATTATTTGAGTAAATTGCCATCAATAAAATTCAATGAACCAATGAGTTGAAGTTGAAAAAAAAAATGGGAAATCATAGAAACCCCTTGCAGAATTGTCCCTTAACACAATTCTCATGAAAGCCAAGCGATATTCGTTGAAGAAGTAATCTTGGCCGTGAGACGTGGAAAAAAATCCACATCGAATAAAGAAAAGGCGAGAAAGAAGAAAGGCCACGAGGGTGGTCTCCAGCTTTCGCCATCTAATTCGCCCCCCAGGTCACCGAATTGAATACGATCAGCGCAAACAGCGACTTTCTCCAGCACAATATTCCCGGGGCTAACCAGTGAAATTCAATTTACATATTCATGACGATTCATTTGTTCGCGGCCTGTACAACCCAAATTTTCCAAAGTGAGAAAGCTCAATAATTCTCACCGCTTGCCCCGTTTTATTCCAAATGAAAACATAAGAGAAAAGACAAAAAAAAAAAGCACGACAATTTTCCGAGAGCCCTGAGAAAACAATGTAAATTGTAATGCAATTTCATCAGACGATATCAACGACTTTATTCCATAACCATTATCTCGTCATTGCCATGGGATTGTGACGAGGAGGATGAGAGAAAATGAAGAAATCCGGTAGAACAAGGGAAAATTCAAATGAAAAAAAATGAGATGGAGTATAGAGGGCAGAGAATTTGATGAAAAATTACACAGTCTGATTTTTTTTCAAGTAATAACTGAGTAACACTAGTGCATGTCCCGGTGAGTGCACGGAGAGAGATGCAATCCCATGTTTTATCAGGTAGACTCCCTCCACCCCCGCCCACATTTTTTCCCATTTTTATCTATTTTTTTTTCCTCGCTCCCCCCTCTCCTCGTGCTCTTTTCAATTTGCATAAATAAATATTTAAGAAAAGTTTTTTGGCTTGTGGAGTATGAAACGCGATATCTCTGGTTCTAATATACGACCGGCGAGCAATCTCCCTTGTGTTTTTTCGTGGATGGAACCATAAAGTGGTGGGTTAGTGTTATAAATGGTTTCTCCTTTTTTACTTTCTTCGTGGCATCTTTTTTTTTTTTAATTCATTGATCGTTTGCATGGGCGATAAAGGGGATGGATAAGGGGAAAGACTGGAGGGAAAAAGGAGATGGGAGATAGCGGTCTGGATACACAAATAGAAAGGAAATGGATGGAGCCACTCCTCTATCCCTCAGCCCTTACATTGGCTTAAATTTATGAATATCATATGTACACACCTCACCTTCCTCGTCTTTTACTCTGGCGAATTATTCATAGGCCCTATTACGCTGGACGGTTAATGCTCCCATGAAAACGTAAAATGTAGAATAGAATATATATGGCCAGTGGAATACGGGGTAATGATGATGTTTGAACAAATTCTCGGGAGTCGGCGGTCTCTTCACTGCATGAGATATTTTGAACAATGTTAAACATACCCACATTTTTTTTATTATGATATATTTTTTTTTTTTTCGTTTTTAGGTCACACGGAATATATGCGGGGTTGTATGGCCGACATTGTGTACAATGGGGCGAATGTTATAGAATCCACGAAATTGCGGAAAGTTAAGTCTGAGGCAACTGCTGTTACGTGGGGCTGTTCATCTGAATTTGATGCTACGAGAAAATCTCAGATAAGTTTTCTCCAGGAAGGTGCGTTTGTATCTATTCCACGGGCCATTCCACGGGCTGGATCAAGGTAATTTTGAGGATGAATGAGATTTGCTGGGGGTGGAAAAAAATGTTGAATCTCGAGGAAAACAATCTGCCTGTGAAAAATTGGTGAAACCTCTGTCAGCAATCTGTTTCGGCTATTTTACCCTCCTCGGAGTAATTCCCCGGGTAAAAAAAAAATTGTACGCGGATTTTTTGTTCCAAATTTTCAAAAAATTTCTGGAAAAATTTTCGAAAAATTTTTCTTTTGAAACAAAAAACAAATTGGGAAACACAACAATTGTATTTTTGGGAAATGTTTTTTCAAAATTTATTTCGGGAAATTTTTTTTATTATTTGCTAGAAATTTTTACGAATATAATTTTTTCTTTTGATTATCCTGTTGTTTTTTTTTTATTTTTCAATATTCTCAAAAAATACGCTATGTAAATTATAAAAAAAAATTTCAAAACCTTTCCCAAAAATAAAATTATTTTGATTTCCGATTTTTTTTGTTTGATAAAAAAAAATTTCTGAAAAGTTTTCCAGAAATTTTTTGAAAATTTGCAAAAAATATTCCTATTACAATTTTTTTACCCTGGTCCTGTTTATTCCACATTTGAAATATTTAAAAATAAAAAATATAGCAATTACGGCAACAAATGAATATTCAAAGGACTCAAAAAAATTCTGGATTGACTAGAAAATGAGTCTGCGAAATATACGAAAAAATATATTCAAATGAAAGAGTTCATTCTAGAGAGATTTTTTTTGTGTAAATATTTGTACACCCGTAACAAGAACAAACGATAAATTCATTTTATTTCTCCCTAAAAAGAAAGAAAAGAAGATAAAATTCTTACTGCTGTCGCATTGCAGATGGGACTTGGAGTTGAGAACAACGTCTGAATCAGGTCTGTTGTTCTACAATGCTGGACAAGCATCGCACGCTGATTACTTGGGCATTGAATTGAGTGATGGTAAAATACGTGTACTGATGAACAAAGGTAATGGAGCAACTGAGCTCATTCACTCATCAATTGTTGCTGATGGGAATTGGCATCGTGTATCGATAGACTTTAATCCCACTGTGATTGGTATAAGTATCGATGATAAATTGGAGCGTTTAAATCTACCGATTGGTGGTAATCGATATCTGGATTTGGCTGATGTGCTCTACATAGGTGGTACAGAGCTAAACAAACGAGCCAGAGCAATTGGTAAAGGCATCAAGTCGGGTGATCGTAGCTACAAGGGTTGCATCAGAAACATGTCACTCGATGCCAATGAAATTGGCCTACCAGACGTCAAGATCAGCGAGGGTATAGTCGTTGGTTGTGTCTGGTCTTATCCCTGCACCAGTGTTCAACCCTGCATTTCAAGTGCAACATGCACACAACTCGGTGTTGACTCATTCCAATGTACCTGCGATCAACCCCACTGCGTCAGGAGTAACTACGTATCAACGATAAACGTAAGTTCATTTTAAGTTCATTTTAAGTTCATTTTAAGTTCATTTTAAGTTCATTTTACTCCCTCCATTCACAGCAAATTTAATCGCTCATTCATTCTGTAATTGAATCCAATCAATTTTATTCGTCGGTGTATTTGCGATGTCAATTGTTTCCATACAAAGGGAGTGCTGTTGTCCACGTTACATTAACCAATCATTGATCAAAGGGGGTGTGTGGGGATGAAGAGGGAATTGCACCTAGTGATAGTGTTTGAAATGCTAGAAGTGGGGTGGAGAGGGCACTTCAACAATGGGCATGATTCCTATTTACCTTGTGCGGTTTGTGGTCGTCGTTGAAACGAGAGTGCTGATTTGCGGAAAGCTCCGTTTCTCGGCTAACGAGACACCACCAAGTGTGTCTTCCGACTCGCCCATCCAGTACACCTTCATCTTCATTGACTTGACTCTCATTAAATATCTCAATTTTTTTCCAGATCAATTCAAACCTCTCCCCCCCTTTTCCCCTCAATGTCAGATGCAAACGAAGAGGGAATCACGAAATATCTGTTGCTCAGGGAATAATTGTTTTTTTTATTTCATTGATTTGACGATATAATTGGAATTATTCCAGTAGAATAAATAGTGAATTAAAAAAAAATTCTTTTCTCAGATTTTTCATCGTGAAAGTTATCAATCCAATTCCCTCGCTCATTCAGAGAGTGTTTCAATGGGTCAATAATTCCAAGACCTTTTTATGAGAAAATTTCCAAGGTACTTGATGGTATTGAGTATATAAACTTATCGATAACTGGTAGAATTGAGAGCTCATGGATGTCTATCCGACTGATTGGAATAACTCCCATTGGATATAAAGGGAGGCAAGAAATCGCTTCTTTTCTCTGGTAGTCTTTTGTGTGCGCTACTATTGGTTGATGCTGCGGTAGTGAGTATCATGGGGAATCGCTCGCGATCCACCCTGGCCTCTGCCTTCGTCGTCTCGTAGGAAATCAAGCTACTTTTCGCTATTCCCACGGGCAGAGGTAGAGTTGAAAAAATAAAGGAGGTGTTCTTTACACGAGTTACTTGTTGTACACGATGGTGGGAGTACTTAAGGTTTCTGTGGAATTATTCAGATGCTGTTTTCTAGGTGGAGTTTAACTTTGGATTTGTCCCTCATGTCCACTTGCATGAAAGAATAATTTATCGCTGGCTGTAGTTTGCCTCCAACAGCTGGGGATCAGTGAATGCCTCGATTTTGTCACGAAACTTCAAATATCACTCGTTAAATCAAGACAATGGGAATTCATAGACCAGTGAAATTGATTAATCAGGGGGATAATGTTTGCTGCAAATACTGGTGAAACTTTAATTTCAAGCTTTTCTACTCAATTTCCATCATTTTCACGTTGTTATCACCGGTTAAACACACTGTGTTATATTTTCGGATTTAGTACGGCTTTTACATGGAATAAAAGACCTAATACTTCAGTCATTTCGAAAAGTAATGTCGACTGGTCTCGTAAATTCCACCTCTCACCCACGCCAGTCTCTCCATTTCCATTCTCATACATTCGTAAAAGACCGAATATTCTCCGGATTCCGGTGGAAAGTAAAAGAATTTTTTCCACTTGAACCCAGGGGTCCGGTGAATTTTCAGAGGGTAGAACTAACTTTTGACAATTTTCAATTAGCAATTTAATTAATGCTGAATAAATTAATTACCTATCGGCGTTTCTCGTCCAGTCATTCGTCCAAAGATCATAATTACAAAGTTAATGGCAAACAAAGTTCGTGACTCACCAATAAACTCTTCGCAGTTGGATGTAATAGTCCATTGAAATACCCCAGTTACTGGCTATTCGGGCTAATTGAAATGTGTCAATTGAAACGAGTGTGCCAATTGTGCTGCAGGCAAACGTGAGTCTAGCGGTAGACCTGGAGATTGTAGCACCAAGGGCTATTGTCGTGCCAGAAGGCGAACATGCGTTGGTTACTCCTGACAATATAGCGATGGTACTGGACATTGCCAAGTATGGGGCAAATGAGGACGGGGTCATTTTCACGATGGTGATACCACCGGAACACGGCAGACTCATCCTCAATTCAGCCGTTTCACCCACAGTATCAACCCCCGAGCTAGCATTCACCCTCCACGACATTTACAGAAACAAGGTAATATATATCAATCATTTTCACTATCCGCTATCTAATAGTTTCCTATTCAAAATTTCCCATCCCTTTCTGTCCAATTTGTTCCGCACATAAAAATCCTTTTGTTATTCACCAACAATTTTTGTTTTCTCTAATAAAAAAATTATTAAACCAAATATGTCGATTGCATCGATTTATTTTTCTAGATTATCACCACAATCTTTACCCCGTGGTATTTTTTTTTGTGTTATAGAAGGAAAAAATTTTAAGACTGACGGATATTAATTTAAAAATTCCCGGGGGTTTTTCCAACTCGGCATTTACCCCGTCTTAAAATTGTTTTATTGTTCCAATAGAATTCAAGTTAGTCTTGAACACCTTTATAACCCATACCAATTCCTCCCCCCCGCAAACTTTAAAGTTATATTCGCTCGGTGGTTTTCGTGGTTAGCTACTTAAACTTTCCCCTCTCACCAGCGAAACTTGAATTTCGTATAGACCATTTGCCGAATGCATCGTGTGCCACTGTCAGTAGATTCAAACAAACTTTGAATAACAGCCCAGCCCAGACCGATATCACTTCCATTGTTCACAATATCTGGGTTTTGTTCGATTTACCCGTGACTCAATGCTATTCCCGGTACACCCGAAAAACTCGATAATCTTCATCCCTCGATTTGCCAGTACATTCTTATCCAAGACGACAAAATGCGAAAAGAAAAAAAAAATTACAGAGAAAAGGGAGTAAAATAACAAAAGATCAGGAGAGAGCAGATCAAAGGGGACTGGTGAAGTAGAAAAAATAGAAAAAAAAAAATAGGGGGAAAAAAAGGTGTCACGAATCATAGTACGATGGAGTTTGACATGTTCCGAGTGGTAATCCATCCTGGATCAGTAGAGATCAGCAAAGAATAAAGAAAAGAGAAAAACTAGTTGATGGGTTCGTAAGCGTCGTCACAGCGAGCAATCACGTGTTTAACGTCCAACAGCCTTCGTGGATAGACTATACATAGACTATACATAGTACGTGACGGGGAAGTACCTAACTTTAGAAAAGCATTGAGGGAGGGAGACCCCTCAGAGACACAGGGGCTGGTAACACCCGCGTTTCAAACTGCCATGTACCAAGAGTCATTCTATATATAAAACCAAACGACTATGGACTACACTCTTTTTAATCTCCCTTTCTCTGCATTTATTGCCTTATTTTAAGTCAAGTCTCAGCTAACATTCCTTTTTTACCTCCTCCCCCTCTCTTCCACCTCTCGGTGTGTGTTCATTTCTCCCTGTACCATTAAAATTATTTTAGCAGACCTCTCCCTCGATGTGTCCTCCAACAGCAAGAACAGGGAGCTTATCTTCCCTGGCAACTTTGCACCATCCAAAAGACTTTGAATTAATTTGCCATGACTTTATTGCCGGTCTCTTCTTTACCTCTCTTCGTCGGTGGCAGTCTTTCCAGCTTCTGAATAATTGAACTGGACAACCACTGTTGTATGCTAATCGTCGAATTTTTAATGAATCACTGAGGAGTACTCACCACCGATGATAACCACTCCTCACGAAAATTCTAATGAACCATTTTAAATAATGGATTAGACTGTTGTAAAATAAATTCAAGGTGAATTATTTTTCATTTTTACATGGCACTTGAAATACTTAAGATATTAAAATGGCCAGCGGTGATCTTCTGAATTTTTATGTTCCATTTATTTAGATACACAAGCGGTATAATAGCATTTCATGTATATCAAAAACATTAATTCCATTACAGGTAAAGTATGTTCATGATGGAAGCGAGGGCCCGGGGGACTCTATGATATTAGAGTTGAAACTGACGGCTGGAATTGGCTTCACGCTTCCTGGATATCTACAGAGCCGTCTGAGGTTTCCCCTTCATGTCAACGTTACGCCGGTGAACGACCCTCCTCTTCTCGAAATACCAACAACCAAGGTCCTCAGGCTAGCACAAGTGAGTCCAGAAAGAGAGAGATAGGGTGAGAGAGAGTGAGAGAGAGGAGGAGTAACAAAAAATAATGTATATTTCTTAAAAAATATTCTCTCTCACTCGTTAGCCTTCTCCAGTTGCCAATTAAAAGTTGGCCGTTAGCCCTGGGAACTAAAGCCAGTAACTTTATACGGTTCAATTATCCAATAAATTCGGGGGAAGGAAGGGAGGATAAAATTTAATCAGACAGGCATACCATCACACGCTTAAAACATTGTTCAACATACGGGTACATGCGTATTGGTTATTCTCTGGTAGACGATTATAAACGCGTTGCTGTCTGCCATGCTTCAACCTAAATGACTCTGACCACAACTGTTGTTTCCACTCTGGATTAATTAACACGGCAATGTCAATTTTAATCAATGAAATGGTGTAAAGTTAATGGAGAATGAAAAAAAAATATATATAAATAAAACTGCACAGGGGACGAGAAAAATACTGACGAAAGAGCTCGTGTGGAGTGTGGATCCGGATACATCACCAGAGTTACTGGTGTACACGGTGTTACGTGCTGATACTGATGCAGGCCACGTTGAAAAAGTCAATCACTCGTCTCATCCACTTGAAACATTCAACCAGGCTGAATTAGCAGAGGGACTTATCTCCTACGTTCATCACGGAAATGGTGAGCCTTCCATTTAACTTGCCTCCTCCCTCACTCCATCAGTTTATTTCGTTGTATTTGATGGTATTTCATTTTGAATTCACCACTTGAGGATGAAACTCGGTAGCTAGATAGAATCAAGTGATTTAATATTGTCTTGTTGATTGTTTTTGTTGCACTCCTCTGGTTTTTATATTTTTCAGCCAAGTCGAATGCTATGCTGGGGCTCCAAGTGAGCGATGGAAGTGAAACGAGTCGGCCATCGTTTCTTCGTATATCCGCTTATCCACTTCAAATAAAATTGAAGCACAATAGTGGGCTGGTTGTGGTGCATCGATCCATGTCTTATTTAACTCCAGCAAACTTATCGTTCGCAACGAACTCGGATGACAGTAGTATTGAGATAGTGTACAGTATTGTAGCACAACCGCAGTACGGAGTTGTGCAGGAATTAAATGAAACGACTAATAGTTGGTACAGCGTCGAGCGTTTTACGAGTAAGGAGATTGAGGGTGGTGTTGTGCGTTATCTGCATACCGTTGGTAGCCCATCGCACGATCTTCTCAAGTTTCAAGCTAGTGTCAGAGATCTGAGGACACAGCAAACTTTTGACTTTAGAATTTCCTTTATCGATATGGAGCTCAAGGATGTACACAGAATTGGATTGGAATTCACAAACGTTAACAGAGTTAATGTGACAAACCATCATCTCAAGTACCAGACAAATCCTTTAATTACACCACCAACGAGAATTGAGTATAAATTGTTGGGTACACCCAAGTATGGGGATTTGATGGTGAGGGAGCGAGTCCTGCTGAGGAATGAAAAATTTACCCAAGAGGACATTGATTCAGGTGGCATTGAGTATCGTCTGTTTAAACTGGCGTACTCGCTGGTTGAGGATGAAATGACATTTGAGGTAAGTGCACCACAGTGCCAATCCTTGTACTCGAGCCTGGCAATTAAGCACTCCATTGGAAAGAACTCAAAGGCACTCAATTCACTCGACACTACTGAAACGTTAAAAGTTACAGAGGGACTGCAGGTCGCTTTAAATATCATTAAAATAAATCCAAGTGAGTTCAAAGTGAATGGCTTGATTTACAATTTGACTGAAGGGCCGTATAATGGATGGCTTACGGTTCAATGCCATTCGAATCAAACAGCTAGATCAAACGTGACGTCTTTCACCAGTGAAGAACTCATCAGTCAATCGGTTTATTACGTTCACGATGATTCGGAGACGAGTCATGATAGGTTGAGGTACGTGGCAATTGCTATTGACGTGGATTTCATGTACGTTGGGGGATTTGATGTCGAAGTTACTCTGAAGAACGACAATCCACCGGTGAGATCGGAATTGTCAGTTTTCGACGTTGTAATTAATGGAGATAGAGTGATAACACGACGAGATCTCACGTACACGGATCGTGATACTGGTACTCAACCTGGTGATCTGATTTATCAAATACAGAGTATATCGAATGGTGGAATTTATGCCGCTGGTGATTCGAGTCTTCAGCTTGAGGAATTCTCCCAGCGTGATATTAATGATGGTAAAATTTTGTTCAAACATCGCGGTGAGGAGTTGGGAAAAATGGAGTTCTACGTGAGTGATGGTGTATCACGTACACCTGGATACTTGGAAATTCGAGCGAGTCCACCTTACGTACGTTTTCTCGATACCAATGCGACAATTGTTCAGTTTAATGGCTCAGTGATATTTTCAATTAGAGATTTAGATGTTGTTACGAATATCGATGTTAATGACAAACAAGTTAAATACAGTGTTACGAGTAAACCCAAGCACGGAGTTATTCTTCAGCGGAATAATAAGGAGATTGGCTCGTTCGAGCGCCAAGATATTGCCAACAAATTGATATCTTACAGACACTTGGGGGGATCAATGACCAAGGATGAATTTAGGATTAGGGTGATGGTTAAGGGTGTTGCCGCTGAGACGAGAGTCATGATAAAAGTTTATCCCAAGTGCTACTGGGAGCCACTCGATGTTAAAAATAACCGGGCTATTCTTGTTGAAGAGGCGACAAGTGTTTTAATCAGCAAGCGAAACTTGGAAATATCACATCCCAAAATAACACCCACTGAGATCACTTATTTGATTCGTGAATGGCCCAAGTACGGTTATCTCGAGGTACAGACACAAAGTGATGGACACGGTGAGGAGTCAAAGGACGATTACGAGGCGAATCTAGTGAGGCACTTTGATCAAAGTGTAATCAATGAGGCTCGTGTACACTATGTTCAATCAGTAGCAAATCAAACGGATGACAGTTTTGTCGTTGATGTCACTAATGGAATAACATGGATGCGCGGTATCGTTGTTAATTTTATAATAATACCTGACAAGCTGTACGTTGAGGCTGACAACGTCACTGTCATTGAGGGCAAAGTCGTTCCACTCCGATCAACAAATTTTAATGTTATCACAATGTATTACTCGGGTAAGCTGACGGATTACAGAATTATTGAAAAACCGAGGCACGGTGTTATCATCGACTCGACGAAAAATAATCAAATAAAAAAATTCTCACAGAAACATTTGGAGGCGGGTGTTATCGTTTACAAGCACAGCGGTGATGAGTCCATCGAGGACAGCTTTAAAATGGTTGTAATTGCGGGGGATAAAACGAGCCAGCCCATCGATATTTGGGTAAATATACAACCGGTAAATGATCAAGTGCCAGTGCTTGTTAATTACACGACGTTGAGGCTGTGGCAGGGTGGCAGGGCCCTAGTGACATGGCAAAATTTGTCCGCTGTCGATAATGACACAAACCCATCACAAATCATTTACAATGTAACGAGCGTTAAGAATGGATTTTTTTCCATTCAGTCATCGCCAATTGTCGATGTTTACAATTTCACTCAAGAGCAAATCGATAAATCAATGATTATGTTCACTCATACGAATGGTACGGATGGAGCTTTTTGTTTTACATTGTCGGATGGAGTACATACAACTCACACGTACAATATATCTATCGATACTATTCCGATCGGTGTTACTATTGTGGAGAACAATGCTCTAAATATATTTCCGTTAACGAGAAAACCGATAAGTGAAAAATCACTGATGACAGTGTGCAGTGATCCAGCGAGAGAGATTAGGTATATTGTGAGACAGGGGCCAAGTCTTGGAAAGATAATTATGGAAACGAATGAGGGCACTTGGCACGAGGTCGATAGATTTACTCAGAATGATGTGAACGAGAGTAGAGTTACGTACGAGCATACCAAGCAGTTTATGGATTTGTTCACTAATGATTCATTTGTATTTGACGTTGAGAGCGATTTTGGGGGTGTTATACGGAATCAGGTGTTTCGAATTGATGTATCGGTATCGAGTGGAGGTCTTGGAAGATACATCGTGGCTAATCCGGTGAGAGTTGAAGAGGGTGGATCGGCCCGTGTACTCATGAATATCAGTGAAATCGTAAGATATTTACGGAGTAAATCCGGCATTACCAATCCCGAAGTTTTCACGAGATTAACTGGCCAACCGAGCCACGGACACGTTATGCTACTGCCCGACTTGAATATAACGGTTTTCAGTGAGACGCAGATTGAAGGTGGAAAAGTAGCTTACTATCACGATCACTCCAACAGCTTAGACGACAAGATACAATTCTCACTTCATCTGAAGCAGGGGTACGTTATGCTGTGCAATGTGACTATTCAGGTTATCATATCACCCGTGAATGATGAAACGTTTAAGCTTGTGACAAAGGCGCCATTCATTACTGTTGTGCAGAATCAAACGCAGACTATAACGCGCAATGATTTATTGACTACCGATCCTGATACAATGCCCGAGGAACTTGTTTATGATGTTATTTCAGGACCAACTGCTGGACGACTGTTGATGCTAACTGTTGAACAAAATATATCGGAAGTGATACAAGTTACTAAATTTAGCCAGCAGGATGTTGATGCTAATCGGCTTGTGTATGAGCACAGTGGATCGTCTCAGTCGGTAACTTTTTACTTTCGCGTATCGGATGGATGTTTTGCACCGGTTTACACTATTTTTAATGTTCATGTACTGCCGATAAAGCTCAACGTAACAACACCGTGTCCCGTTAGCTTACAGCAGGGTTTTAACATGGGTTTTGTTACCGAGGAAAATATAAAACTTGATACTAATGCCAGACAGGAGTACGTACTCTACTCGATAACAAGCCCACCCAAATACGGGCTACTTTATGTCAGGGATGTTGAAGCTGTGACGTTTAAGCACACTGATTTATTATCGAAAACAGTTGTTTTTTTGCAAACCGATATGTCATCTCCTAATGACAGTTTCGTTGTAACATCACGACTCAGCGATTACGAAGTCAAAGGGATAAGGGTGAGCATCAGAGTGACACCGTTAATGATAATCCGTCCGATGGTGGCATTTGCCGGTGAAAAGAATCAGATAACCAAACGATTTATGGATGCTACACCATTGGCTGAGGCAACTAACGGAAATCCCGTCTATCGTATCACTGCCAAGTCACGATACTGCAAGCTCAAAAAAATAATTCGCAGCTCTGGGGAGAAGAGGAGTACCAGGGAGCGAGAAACATCACGATTCTCCCATCGGGAAATAATATCTGGCCTAATTTATCTCGTTTGCCGTAGATTACCGACAACAGATCCTGAGGGATTGCTGGATTATTTTGAATTCAATCTGACAGCCTCGACTTATCAGCCGGCAAATGGTATATTCGAGATAAGACTTAAATCAGATCCTGAGATATCGAACAGTACTTTGGGTGGTCCGATGGATCCAGTGGGACATGAGGGTGAAATGTCAATAGCCCCCAACATGTCCCACGATTACTTGATGATCCTTGGCATGCTTCTTGGTGTTTTTGTCCTCGGTGTACTCGTCATTATGACAATAAGGTGCAGACAAAGGAGGTACAAGAATACCCAGGAGAGCAAAACGAGCGAGACAACACCAACTGTCGGTGTGATTCCACTACCGAGACCCCCTGATCATCTTATGCCAAGTACACCTCATCTCAAGAGATTTGGCAATGAAACCATGGACATCGCTGCCAGCACTCCACTTCCAACTCACTCAACAATCACATCGACATTGCCACAGTGCAAAGTCATACCACTCAATCCACTTGAGAGTGTCAGCTCTGATGCCGATGTCTCGTCGAGGTATCCTTATGGTGTGCCTGATGGTGATGACTGGAGTAGTTTTGACACTGCTGATTTACCATGCCCACCACCCACGACTAACCGCAGGGCAAATCCATTATTGAGGAGAAATCAGTACTGGGTCTAGCAGTCAACACCTTCGGGACATACTCATGATTATAATTCAATCGAGTATGAACCCGGATAGTCTTGCTCTGTGAATATTCATTAACTCGAGAAAAGACTGTAATAATTGATAAATTATCCGGAGGGAATTTATTTCCCGTGTACATGGATATGTTTCGATAGTTTAATCACTCTCTTTTTTGAGCGTTTTCATTGGTCAGGGGATTTTTATAATCCTTGTGTCAACGTTCGGGGTTCATTGTACCACGTGCACAGCTACCTAACTCGGCCTAACTTGAGTCGCTTATTCATTTCTTTTTTATATTCATCTTTTATTTATATGGAGAGTTGCCATCCGTTTTTTGTAATATAAAGTGTTAATAAGTATGTATACTAGGGAGGGGGAGGGGATTTTCCAAGGGGATGTTACGTGTTATGTGTAATTATTGGAGACAATGTTTCGTCGAGCCATTGTGTGTATTCAATGAAAACATCGAGTATTTGTTAATGTTATATTGAATTCTCGGTGATCGGGGTGGGAGGAGCGAAAATATTATTTTCAATGGATTCTGTATCGTGTATGCTTTTGATTAATCGAGGATTATGAGTTATTGATGAATTTGATGGGGAGATGGGACGGAGAATAAATTTATGGGAATCGAAACTCCATTTTGGGGGGTCATACTGAATCATCGGTGGCCTCCAGTTTATACGAGTAAATGTGTGGAGAGAAAAATCTGAGAGATTATCGGGAGCCAAGGGGCTAGTGCATTTGTTATCTAAGAAATAGATAATATATAGGGATTTTAAAAATACTAGATACATTTTTTTTTTGGATTACCCGGGTGAAAACAAAATTGTAATCGGAATATTTTTTCCAAATTTTCAAAAAATTTCTGGAAAATTTTTCAAACATTTTTTTTATGAAACAGAAAAAAAAATGGAAATAAAGACAATTTTATTTTTGCGAAAGCTTTTGAAAAATTTTTCAAAACATCTCCCAAAAATACAATTATATGTTTCCCGATTTTTTTTTGTTTCAAAAAAAAAAATTCTGAAAAGTTTTCCAAAAATTTTTTGAAAATTTGGAAAAAAAATATTCCGATCACAATTTTTTTTTACCCGGGTACGTAAGGCGAAAAAATTTGAGGGAGGGGGAGGGGGAAATAAAACTGTCGATAGGATTAGAATAAAATGTACTCGCGAATTTCTCCATTTTTTTTTTCATTATAAAATCGATCTCTCCTCGGTTACAGAACACGTGATAATATTTTCAGGATTTTTCTCTCGGTACACTTAATATTAAATGGCGCCCAAATGGCGCACAAATGGCGTGTTTGGGTGAGAGGAATGTCTGCCTATTAATTTAGGATAAATTGCGTATTCGTGTAGAGAAAAGAAGCGAAAAATATGGAAAATGGTGACAGAATAAAACCGATTATGTATAATTAATATACGAGTGTTTTTCAGTATTAAAATGTTTGAGATGGATTTATGGATGTTGAATGGCGGGCTCGTTGATTTTAACCGAAATCAAAAGCAAAAGGAAAAAATAATGATTACAAGTGTTAGTGAATTTAGAGAGCGTAAATACATCGGTACGTTTTAATCAAACGAGTAATGACATGACTGTTAATTTTTTAGGATTGAAAATATTGCGAGCGCAAAAATAACGAATCGAAATAGTGCGATACAGTAATTTGACATTTTATTTCCTTTTAGCGGTGACAGATGCATCGAATTGGGGCTTTGAGTGAGTGAAGTATTTTTGACTTAGTACTGATGGAATATATTTTCTTTTTTCATTTGCAAATATGCTATTTCTAGACCTTTTTTATAATCTCCATGTCGAAACTGATCAGAGTGCCACACATGTCTATAATTATAGATGAGACTACAATAAAATTTATTATAGCGATGTATTTTCCCTATTCGAATCGGAGTAAGCATAATCTGTAATCTTATAAATATAATTATATTAAATGTCGAATGTTTAAATTTATTGTTCATTATTACCCGTAATTACTCCAGTACTTCCATTTATTTTTTTTCATCTCTTCTGGTCAATAATCATGACTTTTGCAGTCCCCAGGTGATTTTTTCATTGAACAATAATAATTGATAGTTTATAGTAGTGGAGAACGTACTTATCGACGGAGACCAGTCATGAACCTGCAGTACCTTCAGGGTAATTTTGTAAATATACGTGCGTGTGTAATTTTATGATTTTATATTCCTTCGAATTTCACACATTCTCCCGAATTAAATGCAGTCTGCACAGGATGTCATACTCAGTGTTGCACAAAGAATTTTCAGCAACTGGAGCGCATTGGAGGTAATCAATAAGTCGTTTTCAAAGGCTCGATCTAGTTCTTAACCTATTCGTCTTTGATTCTGCTCCACTCATTGTACCCTTACTTCTCGTTTTTAGAATAAAAAATTCATTGAAAACTGCATTTTATTCAGATGGCCGTGGCACATGGGATGGGATCAAAGGATAGTGCAATTCAATTCTGCCCTTGGATAGCAGAAACACTGTTCATGAATGGTGACTACATTTCTACAATATTTTTTTCGAATGTTCATGACCTCAGAAATGAATTTCTGTTGTAAAAAATAGAGAAGAAAAAATCATCTTGATCAACAATTGAATGATCCTTTAACACTGTAAATGTTTTAAGATTCTCAAGGATTTTCTCACATTATTTAATGGACTGCACTCTTTAATTCCCCCTGTCCTTCACATATATAAATACTTATCGACAGTTCGATTGTTAGAGAACCCCTCGAATAACGAGGTGGCAGAGGCCCTGGAAGACTACATGGAATCAGAATTCCAGACAGAACTGGAGGATGGAAGTGCGATGCAAGTAGCTGAACAGCTGTTGAAATTTCATCGTTACTGCGTCGAGGGAAATGAAGCTGTTGCAGTTACGGAAATGGAAAAATTGCCATCCCTGAAGACGTGGATACTGACACGTGAGGAAATCAGACAACAGGGGAATAATAAACCAGTGGGAGGAGTTAATGAACAGACGGAATCTGATAGTGAGGGGGATGACGAGCGAATGGAAGTGCCAGCTGATGATGATTGGGTGGCTGTAAAAACTCGAAGGAAAAAATAAACATCCTGACAGTTGAAAAGTCTAATCCAATTTATTTATGTATTGCCTATTTAATCCTAAACAGTCTTTTGTTCCTACGAATTGTTGATAGTCAACTGTTGATCACAATGGAGAACTAGTACATATTTAATCCTATTCAATGGAGGAGAATGAGTCATTTCCCATTGTTGGGATGTGGAAGAGGGAGTGTACAATATTTATTGGGCTCCCACGGTGGGTTATCGGTTTTTTCATTCTCCTTCTTCTTCTCTGATCCCAGCAGACTCAGTATTACTGGGAGAAAAATTAATCCGTGGAATAGACCGAAAACAACTACTGCTGCGAATAACTGAAATGAAAATAGTGGGAGTTTAATGGGGCTATTAAAATATTGGAGATAATTAGTGCTTCTGGTATTACAGAATTATATCGCTAACGAGGTGTTCTTGGATTCAATGCTCTGAAAGGATGTAATAGGATTTTTCATTAAAAGAATGAACAATTAATTGTTGTAATCACTGATGCATCTTTAAACTCAATTAGAATTTCCCTCCAATATCGTAGAATTTTTTAAACTGATAAGGATGCGAATCAGTGGAGGAGATTTTAATTTGGAAAGGCAAATTAGGAAATACCTTGAAAAAACTACTGAAGAGATAATCTCTACTGGCTCCCAACAACATAAAAGCCAGAAATGTACTCAAACCGCCATTGAATACTGCAGGGCCTATTAATCCCAAAGTAGAAATCGATCTCTCTGGAAAATCGAGAATGCATTCATTTATTTATCGGTGGATTCGGGGTGTATCATCAATAAATAATAATACAGTGTACCATCTCGTGTGCCCCTGGCTCTTGTAAATTCTAATCCCACATGTGCTGCATAATCAACAGCCAGTCCGGCACAGAGGAGAATCATGATGCTCGATGAAATTTCAATAGTTAATCCCACATAATACATTGAGCCCAGTAGATCAATTAACGTGAAGAGTACGCAACAAATTACCCAAAAGGATACCCATAAATCACGGAGTAATAGCATGCTAACCACACTCACAGCCAGAATTTCCAGGATCAGATTTCTGATTAATTCGTCACCAATTATCTGAAATTTAATCGTCAACGTCGGACAACTGTTCCAGAGCAATATTACTTTTAATTAACCATTAAGGGTACTTGATTTGCCGTCCAATAGACGTAGTCGTGAGCGAAAATCGCTGAGTGCTCGTTTCCCTTTGAGAAATTAACGCTCTGGATTATTTCGCGGATGGATTCCATCGCATGCTCTCGCTCGTGTGCCGTGGGTATTGTTACGTGTTGCAATCCAATTTTAGTTATCTAGAATTTTAAGAAATAATTGTCCGATCCTGTGGAAAAAAATCTTTACGCGAAAAAAATACAGTCTCAATGAGATCAGACTAGTTACCGTAATATTATAATCACTAATGGGAATTCCATCGAACTTCATGTCTCTGACGAATGCCTGTCCCTCTTTGCTCATGAAGAGAAATTCCGAGAGTTTTCCGTAATACTCCTCGCAATCCCCAACACCTGCGAACAAAAACCTCCCAACAATTCTCACCCACTTCCACGAGGTATCCGCTAATGGTTTAATTAATACCCCGGTTAATTCCCGTTAGTTTTCCACGTGAGTGTACATCTCGACTGGGAAAGCCAGTATTTACCTTGATACCTTTCCTCCAACCACTCGCCATACCTCGTGAACCACGAGTTCAAGGTCCGTTTGTTTACATAACTATTGTTCTCAAGTGCCTTGATCATCTCTCCAAGTGCCTCTCTATCTTCACAGTAATCCACACTATCGAAGTAAATATCAGCTCGGCGTCCGTAGTTGGGAAATAGCTCGAAGAGCTTCTCAGAAAATTCAATGGGATATGATTCCTGATTCAGGTACAGTAGAGGCTCGAAATTCCGATCGAGCCGACAAATACCCCAGACATTGAGACCCAGTAATAAAGCAGCCATAGAGATGACCAGGAACTTCACTCGTCGGCACATCAAAAGGGGTCCAATGAACTCCTGGAATATCACTCTCTGCACATTCCTCTGGCTGCACTCGTTCGGCCGCCACTGGGATCTGGACAATATTTTCTTTCTCTCAATCATTATTTTTCACTCTCTATTCCCATTTAACACTATCAGACTATAGATAATTTACGTAACGAGGAGCTCACCTCTTCGTACAGAAGCATCCGTCTTTATTGGAAGCAACTCGCCTCTCGTCAAGTACAAGACAGCTAACGAAGAACATAACTTCGTAAACGAACAAGAAGAATATTCCCATAGCAGCGAACATGCAGAATGATTTGAGGAATGGCATAACTGTGGTCATCCCGATGCCGAATGCAATGACATTTGTTAATGAAGTTACCGTTATAGACATTCCCGATTGCTCGAGTGCTTTGGCAATTCGTACAGGTAGTTGAGAATTTTTTTCAATCTCTGTCAGCGTCTCCAGACTCTGAATAATCACGAACATGTCGTCGACACCGATTCCGAGGAGGAGGAATGGTAGGATTGGGTGGACAGGACCGTAGGAGAACCCCAAGTAGAAGCAGACACCGTAGGCGGACAATATTGCTTGGCCTGTCACTGAGACACCCAGTAGTGACAGATAAATTCGTTGCTGGACCTTGTTACATCTGCCAATCATCGCTGCAACGTAGATCATGATGAGGATGGGACCGCAGAAGAGAATTGCCAGGTTGTTCTCGAGGACTCGATCGAGGATGTCGTGGAAACTTCGTGACGCTAGTGCGTAAATTCTCATACCTCTGGGAATTGTACGGTTCGAGTACAACACTTTTTCGATGAACTCCAGTTCCCAGGCTGACGAATTTGCATTTGATTTTTTCAACAGGAAGTTCAATAATGTACCTTTTGCACCTATCACGTGGCCCGATCCGTCGTACGTCAGAGTCGAGAGCAAGGGCGATATGTCCATTAATATTCCGTTGTCGTTTTTCCTGGAATTTACGAGAAATTCTTTTCAGCGAGGAAAATCTTCCGAGTGTCTCATTATTCGGTTTCATGACGCGTATTATTTATGGGGAATTATTAGGGGGTGATGTGGGATGATGAAAGTTTTCCGAATTCTTCTGGAAATTGAATTCCACCGAGGGGAAAAATCCACTTGCCACTCAGGAAAAAAATCAATGATATTTTTTTTCGCAATGATAGAGAGGTGAGATGATGTGGATAAGTAATTTGGGTGAGTAATTTGGATGAGTAATTTTTTGGATCCAGTGAATTCTTTGGAGTCGATGGAAATGATTATTCCTTGGAGTTCTTACGTTTCGTGGAATGCCTCGGTGACGTCCCGAGATATTTCCTCGAGGGTCAGATTGGATACACCTTCTGGCCACAATTTCAGGATAGATTGATAGATGCAAGAGTCTTTTCGTAGAAAATCACGGAAAGTGCCGTATGCCAGCAGGGGGTAGTCCCTCTCGAGTTCCTCGATTGACGTGACATTTGAGAACCACGTCAAGTACCTGTTAGAGTGTTAAGTGTCAATGTTAATGACGATGACTATTGCTTTCGATTCTCGTTGGTTTCATTCCCACCTGGCGCACACGTCCGACCAGGAATCGCCGTTGACTACTATTCCCTTGACTACGTCTTCCATCTCGGATATCTAACACCAGAGATTTCACTTTTATGCAGAGAGTATTAATTATTTGGGGGTATATGTTTCAGAAAGATTATATTTCTCAATGAAAAAATTCCATTTTCTTCATTCGTTTCATTTTAATTCATTTTTCCTTCCATTTCTCACCCCAACAATCAATTTTCATTAATTCCTCTAACAAAAATGGAAATTATAAAAAAATTACAGTTATTACGATTTTTAATAACTGTCCGGAATTATTGAATAATTATCGAGTAATTTATTAATATCGATTATAGCTTTGAGTATTAAAATTTTGGTATTGAAAAAATGGATTGAGATGATTGAAAAATGTTGTGAGAATGTTGTTAAAAAATGGGGTGAGAACTTGGGGAAAAGGTGGAGTGGAATTAATTGGAGAATGACGGAATTACCGAACGCAGGACCTCGGGGTCTAGTACATTGGAGGCTGTGACGAGGATGCTCGCATATGTGAGCTCATCTTTGAAGTGTTCCTTGACCCAGGAGGCGTCTGACCTCAGAGCTGCCTTCATGGGAATATATAATTCAACATCGTCTACTTCCTCCCTCCACAGAGACATCCCAGAACCGCAGACTCCACTCAGGCATAACGATGTTATCAGCCACAGCCAAGGGTTATTGCCTATACTTAAACCTATTCTGAAAGAAAAATAATGTCCCCGGGATTTTAATTAGCAACGATCAATTCCATTCTCTATTTCAACCCCTTTGCATTGTCTCCACATTTTTTGTTCCCCTCGGTATTAATAAATTAAGCACTCGTTATTGTTATTCACGAGTGGCCAGATGTGTCCTTTGATGATGGAAATTTATTGTTCATTGAAAATTAAAAAATTGTCCAGCATTCCCGCTGTTGCTGGAATATAATTCATTTTTCCAGGGAATCGGTTTTCCTGAGAGCAGAAAATTGTGGAAATACCACTCAAGGTTGAGAGAACTTAATTTATCATTTCACAGGGCTAAATTGTGGGGCAGGGAAATCAAGTTTGAGAAGGAATTAATTCGGCAGTAATGAAGAAGACACGAAGAGAATTTTCTTGCCGGTGATATGATTATGCGAGAATTTATCTACCAGTGAAATGTCATTTTATGAACGATTTTGTCAGTCAATGTTTAATTATTAAATATATAATTATATTGTTTTGAGTTTTAATGTGTTACTGGGAAAATTCACTGGATACTCACTTATAAAAAATTGTACCCGGATTAAAATAGAAATGAACGACAGAATCTTTTAGTCGTCTCCACCTACTCTCCGCCTCCGGTCTCCCACTAGTTTCCATTGTCACCGGTGCACAATGAGATGTCAAACTAAACTGAAACACCCAAGGCGTCTCGCATAATGACTCCTCACATGCTTCAATTCATCAAATGTAATCCCCCGGGTATGACCACATAACACAATTACACTCAAAAGAAAATCTGTGGGCGTCAATCTCAGGCGACCACCTACATACATCCAAATGAAACTCGATGAGACTTTTTATCGATAATCTTCTCACCAGGAAAATTTCCATTTTCACTGACAGTCATTTTCCCAATGATTTTCCACAGAGAAAAATATCCGCGAGACTCGCAATCAAATTTAACGGTTGGCAGGAATTCTTGTCGTGACTTGACAGAAGAAATTATGAGTTCGATAAAATAATTATTCCTTGCGTGGAATTTTATTAATATTTTTCATGAGTAATTACGAGAATATTTATTATATATATTTTTATAGAGGTATTATATAGTAGTAGATCGGGGTTTAAAAGGGGAACAATTGCTTGGGATACGATTCGCGGATTTTCATGATTTTTTTTTACAATTACTACCTCCCCTTGCCTCGCTAATTACTAATCATAAAATCGCGGGTCGCGGAGATGGAAATTGCCGCGGTGATGCGCCGCAGAAAAAAAAGGAAAGGCCATCAGGGTAACGGTAACTCTGGATCGGAAACGAGCATAAACCGTCTGTTCCAGCGGATGACTCCTTGAAAAAATGAGAACAAGAAATACGGAAAATTAGTGTCACCGACGAGCCATTTATCGTGAATTGACAGCACCAGCAATCATTGAGGCGTCCTAGCGTGTCATTCCTTTCCTCAATGCGTGATTGCCAATATTTAGTCTCGCCATTCGATCCATCCAATAATTTACCGCATACTGCACCCAACATCTCATTACCACAAATCGATTCACACGATTAATTATTTCAAAACTATTATGATTGCCAAAAATCTAAAATTGTGAAAAAAATTATTTTACATTTTTTTTTCATTTGTTCGAGTCTAATTTATTGGGCATTCCTTTATGACTCATGGTGGAACTCTGGTGGGAGAAACACTTGGGTAAAAAAAGGGGTCACAATATTTGGAAAGTTACAGCCTAGAGGGGATCGAGAACCGCCCAGAGGAACTTTCCTAAAAAAAATGGAGTTCCCGCATACTCAAGCAGTCATACGAGTTTCATTCATTGAATTACTAAGATGTAGGTGACAGTGATTCGAGGTGAATGTCACCAGAGGATGGCAGAACGCCAAAGAATAGACGACCCGAAAGCATTCCATCGACAACAATTTTTTTGACAAAATTCCTCACCTCCGCATTCTCAAAAATTCAATAAAAAATTCAACAAACCCCTAAATCCCGTAGATAATTATTTTCCATTAGCTCCGATAATTATTGAATGGAGTCATGAGTGATTGAATGTTGAGTGTAATTAAATAATCATTATTTTCGATGATGTGCTTTATTGGATTTTCTGGGGATAAATTATTATTGAATAAGGTGATTTGTTGGTAATAATTCAGATGGCAAAATAATCAGGGAAAACCGGCTGTAGACTGGTTGATCCAACATTTCTATCCGTAGGTGTGTCATCCTGATGTTTATCCCTACCTGGCAACGAGTTCTGTCAAAAGTAGGGAGTTTACGGTGTGTACTCGTTTGGTACCGGTGTACGCCTTTCCCATTCGCTCATCCCGGTGGAATACCAAGTGTTGAGTCCCCAGTGTATCTCTCACTTCTCCGATGGACGGGTATCCTCATCAGAGTGCAAAGTTGGTGTCAATATCGCCAAATAAATTTGGTCAAATTTTTCAACTCAAAGTTAAGCACGTCAGTTGAAAATTGTTAGCCTAATCGGATATTTGTGGATTAAATCGAACGATTTAATAGTCCTCCCGGTAACATCCGAAACTACGGTAAGTGGGATACGATCCGTGATGAGCTGATACGACGAGTTACGAGCAAACATTTCATACGGTCAACGAATACCTGATTTATGGGATTGCATTAATTAACATCCTACCAAAATCCCACCAAACATTATTGACCATTTCATTTTACCTCCATTTACTGTATCGATGATCATCAATTCACGTGATTATCTATCGTTTATGATTAGTTATTATCCTGAGGGGTAATTAAAAGGGGTCTATTTGTGCATTTGATTATTCAATGTAATGGAACTTGACGGTATTTTAACTCTCACCCCTTGAAAAATCTCCGGTGATCCACCAACCACCGGTCGCACTAAAAATCCTCTCCTTAAATTCCAGCGGAACAATGTGGAAATTCATGATGCTGACAAGCCTATCAATAGGCATCTGCCAAAGTCAATTGAATTTCGAAGGAAGCCCACAGACAGACAGCACGGACTACACCGCCGAAGAGTCCCATTATTCGATCCGCGAGGAAATCGCTAAATCGCGAGAATTGAATCCACCGAGTGGCAGGAAAACCGACACTTACACGACAGGAGAAAACATTGGACCGATAACAGACGCGCGATCAATATCACCGAGTGTAAAAAGAGTGTTGAAAAATGAAGGTGCAACGAACCTCGTCTCCGACGTGGGTATGAGAATCTACCCGAGTGCCATGAGACGGAATGAAACCGATCAAACCCCCCGTCACCTCTCCTCAGACCCCCTGGACACCTTCCTAAATTCCAGAACTCCCCAGGAGTCCCAAATAGCCCTGGACAACTACTTAAAAAGTCACCACTATCCCAACTCCTCCCCTCACTCCCCACCGACAAATATAATTAATCAAATGACACAAAATACCGAGGACAATCAGAACACCCTGAATATTCAGTCTAACGCGCCCCAATACCTCAGCAATGATCAGACTAACATCAACACATTGAACAGTCCTCCGAATATTAATCAAGCACAGTTGCCAGTTAGTGCTCCTCAGCAGAATGGACAGATCATTAATCCCCAGGTCTATCAAACACATCCATTAGCACCGGTTTGGCCGCTAACGACTTTCCAGAGTAGACGAGACGTCATTCCCATACCCAGAAGACGACCCATCTATCATCATCGAGGTGCACCGCGTTATCGTAACAGATATCACGCCCAATCGAGAATTGGTCCGCCTTTTATTGCAAAACCACCGCTATCACCTGGACCCCATGGAACTCCTATTTATCCTGGTGATAAACCCATCGAGGTGATCTATACGAAACCACCGGGTTTACCCGGACCTCCCAATTCCCCAGGTGCCTACAACGGTCCCAGTGAATATTTCCCCGAGAGCGAGCATCCCCCTCTCAATAAAGACGTTTATTACTCACAGTTATGGGCTCAGTCTTACGATCCCCATTACTATAATTATATCGCTAAGACTGGCAAGATCAAACCGTGGCTTTATGGAAAACTCGGGAAACAGGAGGAGAAGGGGTTCTGGCATGAGTTGTATGTCAGTTTTAAAAAGCATGGGATGAAGAATATGATGAATCCCATGTTTTTACTCGGATTGTCGATACCTGCGGTTACTCTTATGCTCAGTGCGATGGTTGGGAAGAGATCGTTTGGGAGGGCTTATCAGGATGGATTGACGATCGGCGAGGACACCATCGAAGAACTCGCTCAGAGGATCAGACATGCCATCGAATGCTATCAGAAGCAGGGAAAATGCTCTGGAGACTTCCGGTCTTGATTCCAGGCAGGCTAATTCGATATTAATTTTGGAATTGACCCATGGAAATGCAAATTATCTTTCAGGGTGGGAATATCGGCAGTCAATTGAGTGAAAAAATTATCCGTGTGGGGTATGGGGGACGAATTTATAATGGAATGATTTTAATCGAACAATTGAAAACGACCCCAGGGGTCATGGGACCCAGACAGCTGTATACGAGATAACGATCTATTATTTAACCTACCATTACAAGGTGGGAGGTACTGGTGACACGGCACAAGTGCAAATTGAATTTTCTTCGGTTTGTTTTCAATTGTTTGAGAATTGTTGAACGCTTTAATATAAACAAGGTGGTTAATACAAATTGAAATTCAGGAGCGAATTGGTAAACTACTTTGCCATTTTTATTAATTATCGATTTATCTTGAAAACGGATAATTATGGGTGGATGCTGTGAAGGACCTTTTTTACGGAGGTTTACATTTTTTATAAAAAAGATCTTCTTGTATTTTTTTGGGGGATCAGCAGATCAATCGATATTTAATCATTTTGGAAATGAGTTCAAGGAAATTTCATTCATCTCACAATTTCTCTCCTGAATTGAACTGTGGAAGACAGGAAAATTCGGCGGTAATTTAAATAGTCGTTTATTTATTATCGGTTATTTATTTATAGTGTCGGGTAGATTTGAGGGCGAATAACGCTCTGGTACGACAACAATGTACAGTTTTATTTCACAAGTCCACTCATATCTCATTTTTTATTTATAAAAAAATATATATGTATTTTGTATATATGTATATTTGTACGGTGAGAAATAAAATTTACGTTTGATAAACAACGTAGGGGATTTTAGAAATGACGTCTAGGCACTGGTAGGTGCTTCTTCGCGTTTTCGATTCGTTTTGATAATTAGGCTGTCGTGTAATGGTGAAAGGTCATGAGTTCTGAGAAATCTCGGTTCAAGGAAGAAAGGTAGGGGAAGGACACTCACGTAGGAGAAAAATCAATAGAAATACCTGCTCGGCTTTCTCCACAAATTCTAAACAATTCCTCAATTAATTTCATTAATTTCCAGTAGCACTGGATTTTTATTTTTCAATAACATTTAAATTTTGCGATATAAAACAAAATAAAATACAACCGAAAAAAACTTAAACAATCTGGAAAGGAAAATTCAAACAGAAAACAAAGGAATTTCTACGCCAATTCCTTAAAATTTCATTTCCACAGAATATTTATTGAGTTTTTTGTTCACGCGTGCAATTAAATTTATCGAAGAAATAATTTCGTGATGATCTACTGTAATGGGTACGGAACTCCTTTCATAACGGACTAGATTCGTAGAAAAAAAAATAATTCCACCTGTTAGTCATGAATTTTTCTTATGAAATAATTATTGCTGCGTTGAAAATAATTTTGTAATTCAACATTTCATCGATGAAACATTTTTTTATGCGTCTATTAACTGAAAATCCAGAGACATACGTCTCTAGATTTTATTACGTTCGTTGAGCTCACACTAGATAAGATATATACAATTCCTAATCGAAATTTTCTTCCTTTAACGCCAGATTTATCGCCCGACCTACATCTTTAACAACGAAAGCTGGCCTGCAGAGGCCCTCCTCGAGTGGTAGAAAATCCCTGGGGCAGTGCTCTGATATGAATTCAGAATCCCGTCGATGAACACCAGTTTCAACTAAAATACTGATACAAGCTTTGACAGTTGGTGCTTCTAAATTTGTGCCTAATAACTTCTCCATCCCCCGGGATTTCGTCTCTTTGCCCTTCGAATATCTCGCCAGATATTTATCGTAAAGATTCGCACCGAATACGTCGGTGTTAATATTGTCCCTGAAACAGATAATTAATTCATTACAAAATTGCGGATTATTTTCAGTTTTTATGAGTAATTGGCATGAGAAAAATTTAATGTTCATCAGGTTTCCGCTAGAAACGTGAAAAAATAGGCCCTAAATTTTTTTACTCTCAAATATTAAATTTAAACAATTCAAAGAAATAATTTTTTTCTTCCGGGTTGGATAGATCGTAATTGTGAATCGATATATTCGAAATGAAAACGAAAGCCCGAGAAAACTCACCCAATGGCATAAATGGTTTCCACATTATGATCGATACCAATTTCCTTGGCGTGCTTCATGATCATCTGATTGGCGTGATAATAAGTGATTTCACTGGGTTTTCCAATCAAGGCTGTATAAACCATGTCCTTTCCCGTGACTTTTTTGTACAAAGCTTCTAAGCAAACGAGAAAAGCCCCATGACCATACCTGGGTATGGGAGCCTCAGAGACCCAGAGGAGATCCATATTGCAAGCTAGAACAGGTATATGAGGATGAGGTAAGGTATTTGGAAGATTTGATGGCATTCCATCGGTCATCATGAGGTCCACCATGAGCTGCAGGGGAGTCTCCCACGTGGTGGGTTCGCTGAGCATAACTATTCCCTCGATGGGAGAGAAATTTGGATCCACAGGACCACAGGTTGGATTCCTCCTGTCTTTATTGACGTAGTCTAGACTTGGAAAATTTCTAACTAATTCGTCCATCGTTACTATCCTTTTAAATCCTAGTTCTTTGGCTATTTCGCGGATCTGGCCTTGGCCTGAGACCAGCACCCGCTTGTCGTGAAATTGCTTGAACATTCGCAGGGGCGAGTGAGCCATCACCACCTGGTCCTCGGACACCTCGAAACCTATCCATTTTGACAGGTCTCGTGCCTTCTCCGAACGAAGTGCATTTCCACTGTTTGTTACGAATACAGTTGGGACACGAAATTTACCTGTGTCATCGCGCAAACGCGCAAATGATTCGGGCACTGGTGGTAGCACAGTTTTACCTCTCACTATCACACCGTCGATATCGAATATCAAGCCGAATTTTGGCTTTGTACTCAGGTGCTGCAATTATACCCTTTTGTTAGAAATTTTTCGTAATCAATTTCCAATTTAATTTTTAAGACAATTGTACTTCTGAATTTTTTTTTTGTATGCAGAAAAGGAAATTATTTTTAGATATGAAAAATTGTTTTATATAAATTCTTTACTTTCTTAACTTTGAACTGTTCAAACTCGATCATTTCGTTGCGAAATTACTGCTCAGGTAAGAGAAAGTACATCGAGCGATTAGACAGTTATCACTGTCAGACATGCCACGTTATCCGCACGAAATCAATGATAAATTCCGATCTCGGACATAAAAAAATCAACACGATCAATCATTCAATTGGTGAAAAACGAATTCCACCGAAAATTGTTCGCGACATTTATTTATATTTCCAGACCATTGGACAACCAACTTTTCTGTCAATAATAATACATTAAAAAATAATTGTCTTCGGTAGGCCTTGAGGGAACTTCAGCTGTCAGTCTAATTTTGATTGTGCTATAAACAGCTGTTTAGTTGTTGTTTCCAAGGTGAAAGTATATTTGTACGAGTGAACCTTGACCCAGAACCTTTTCTACGACTTTTCAGCGGGTAAAAGTCAATGGAGAAACACTAAACCAAGCGAATGCTCACTCAGAAACGAAAAGTACCGAAATTATTTCCTTTACATAATTTTCATTGTTGATATGCATGGGGTCATTGTTTTTTTTATTAAAAAATTCTTCGCTCATGGATGATTGTTAGGATCGTTTGTTCATTGTTGCGCTGGTCATGTCGTCGTGTCCTCGGGTTAATATTTTCATTCATAAAAAGTGGATTGTGGATCGAGTGATTGCTTCAATTCGGTAATTAATGGTGTACTGGTGACACAAGTTTATGACTTACTCTGACACCGGTGAATGTTCGGATATCCGATCTCAAAAAAATCTTCATAATAGCCATCTTGACTTTATGTCACTCCACGATTTTTAAATCAAATGTGACAATTCATTAAATCCATGTAAACTGTCTTATACTATCTCGTGTAGCGCTGGGTCAGTACATAACCAATATTGGTGGAGGGAGGACAGAGACTGGTGACTGATCTCAATGTTTTATAAGAAAATTTCATACCCACTGGTTCTTGAAATTTCTACTCTACCAACCAGAGAGGATTGACTAAAGTGGAGGCTGTTCGAGGCTGTTCTGGGGGTTTGAGTGACTCCACCGATATCGTAGTACCTCACCCCAAGGGAGAGAGGGTACCACACGCAATGGGGGTTTTTTCCCCCATGTGACCCGTAACCAAATCCAATGAACCCTTAAAAAAATTTAAGTGACTCCATAAAATTTTTAAATTTCAGTGAATATCAATTTCGTAATGCAAAAAAAAACATTCACCCTATCGGGCAGACACCCCCATTGCATGTGGCGTCCTCCTTCTCTTGGGGTGCAGTACTACGATGCCGCTGGGGTCACTCCAACCCCCAGAATTATTCCATAGATGATAATAAACCCGCTAGAAAATTAAGAAACACATCTCGGTAAAAATTCAGATCTAAATCTAGAATTTCGAGGGAGAAAATTTTTTTATTTTTCCAAAATCGAATTTTTCCACGCACTCCTGATCGATTTCGCAGATTTCCTAAAAAAAAAATAGAAATGAAATGTTTATCATGAAATTCCATTTTAGAATTTTTCTTGTCAGTACATTTGGCGAACGATTTCCCCATTTTGCAAAATCAATTGATGGAATAATTAGGGAATTATTCCGAAATATTTATAAAAGCATTTGAATATTACGGTGGGTTCTAGCGACACTTGTGGATCAAAAAAAGACTTAGTTTCCGCCGCTGAGCGATCAAGTGAGGGTCATGTTTCTCGTTCTTATTTCATTGAAATAATGAGTTTCATTTTGAAGCGTTTAAACAATGAAGAAACAATTCTTCTCAGCCGGCAATGTGTACGCACCATTTATCAATTATTTTAATATTGTATCCGCAGCTCTCCATCAATAACCAGTGGAATTAACAGCACATTAAACGTTTTCGAGGTTAACTCGTATTTTTCATTTTCAGTACAAAACCTGTGGACGCGACAAGACGAATAATATTGTTTGCCTCAGCCCAGTAGTTTCTCGTTTTCACTGCGTATTCTTTCAGAAGGATGATGGAATTGACATCATCGATCTGGGGGTAAGGAATATCCATCAATCTTGTTTTAAATTTTCGCTTACTCGATCTTCTATTGTAGAGAATGCAAAATCTTTGAATCTCTCGGGTTTTTGTTGTCAAACAAATTACAGCCATAAAAAATATAGTGACATAATCACCGCTTTAAGACTCACTGAAATTTTTATCATCTACCACTCGCGGATAGAAAATCCAAAGTAATAGAAAGGCCACTTTCTTTTTTTTAATTACTCGTTAATTCAGAAGTTAATGTAATTTTTTTTTTGTCATGAATTTCAAATGACTTCTGAGTAGAAAAAAAATGATTCTTTCCCAGAGTGCAAACGGCACGTTCGTGAACGGTACAAAAGTCACACCAAAGGTGAAGACTACCCTGAGCGTGAACGATACAGTGGGTATCGGTTGTTTCAACGTCGAATCTCTCGAGGCTCAGGACTTCGTGTACCTCCTGCAACTGAGTCCAGATGACTCTCCGAATAATGATCCAGGTCCCAGCACAAAACGTAAGATCGACTCAGACTCCACCCCAAACATACCCAGAAAGGTGATAAGGGTGGAGGATCCAGAGGTAATCAGTATCGACGACGACTCCGAGGAGAGTTCACCTGTGACGAGCTCGAGAGCCCGAAAAAAGAAGTTGACTTCACCGGGAGCAAGAAAATCCTCTCGAGTTCTCGAGGATGACAACTCCGATGAGGACTTGAGGGAACGTCTTCGGAAGAAACGAAGATCGAAAAATGCCTCAGTGGATTCAGAAAAAACAGCTGAGAACGGAGTGAAGCTGCTGAACGGACACTTAACGCCGAATCCTAGAGACCCAAAGTCCCCAGTGGTGATAAAATATGAATTGGACGTCAGAGACCATGTACCTCAGCCTTGTGCCTCTTCTTCCCAGACAGCCTCTCCCTCTGTATTAGTCAAGGACGAGCCCAGACTCAGCTATTCCCAGATAGATTGCGACGACTTCATCGACGACGACGACGACATCTTCTCCCAGAAATCAGACTCAGTCCAAAACACTCCAGACAGAGGCAACACTGACCTCCATTCGGACAACAAGGGGCATTTAGATGGCTTCACAGATTTATTTCACAGTCAGGAGAAAGAGCCAGATGTTGTTACACTGTCTGACGATGACGATGACGAGGACAATCCGTGGTTGATGAGACTTTACCAGAGTCAGTTGTTGAATGAGAGTCAGATTAAGGAGGAAAAAGGAGGCGATGATGCTGTTAACCTGCAGGCTGCTCTCCAGGATCTCAATCGTTTGAATTTACCAAATGACGATGATGAAGAGGAGGAGGAGGAGGGGGAGGAGGAGGAGGAGGAGGAGGAGGAGGATATTCGGATGGTAAAGAAAGACCAGATGGAACAGGTTGATGTCGAGGATGACATCGAAGAACGTCTTCCTCAGGTTGAGAAAGTAAAAAAAGTGTCGAAGGACGAAGCGGTGGCCATCGTTGAGCCCAAAAGAAGTAAATCGAAGTCATCGACATCCTCTACGAGGAGCGCAAAATCATCGATCAACACGAGAGCTCAGGAGCCTGGGGAAAGTGGAGAGCGTGAAGACTCGAAGAAATTGAGGGATTCTAAAGCGCCTAAAGTATCTAGGCAGTCCAAAAAAATTATAGACAGGACTAAAAAACATGAAATATCTAGGAAATCCAGAGTCAGTGTATCTAGTCACGATGATCATTCTGATGATTCTGAGCGCAAGAAGCATAAAGAAAAGTTACATAAAAAAAAAGAGAAAGTCGAGACGAGAAGTGGTAAACTAGAGAAGTTGTCAGTGAAGAGTTTCTACAAGTCAAAATCTGAGGACGAGGAGGAGAGGAGAGCTCTGTCTTTCGACGAGCCATCGACATCGAGAAGAGATAGCATAGAGTCAATAATCTCGAGAAGATTTAGCGGTGAAAAGTCGCCCCTGGAATCCAAGCGGGTGAAAAAGATCCAGCAGATCGATCCCCCCTTCCTCAAGAAAGGAGAGAGACGAGGAATCAGCTGTGGTATAAAAAAATTCGACGGGTCCAGCGATCCTAATGCTTCAACGTCGTTGGGAAATGCTGATGACTTCGGTGAGGACTCAAGTGACTTTCGCCCGTCTACCTCCAAATCGGAGAGACTCACAGCTAAAGAGAGAAAGGAGATGGCGAACGACGATAAGATTCGGGACCTTCTTTACAAGAAAGAGCAGACAAAACGAAGACTCCAGCACAAATGGGCGGACTGTCTACCACCAGGGCAACGTCGACGCTCCTCCCTATCCAAATCCAAGAGGGACGAGATAAAGCACGATCGAAAAGAAAAGCTCAAGCAATTGGCAGTCGAGAATAAGAAACAGACGTCCAGTGATTTGCCAGAGAAGAGAACTTGCAAACCCAAGGCCAAAGTCTCCAACAAAACTCGTGGTGATTTTCTCATTGAAGATACAGAGAACAACTCCAAAATCCATTCTATATCAAAGAAATCCCGAAAATCCGTCGATGAGAGCGAAATCTCCAGTCCAAATGTCTCTACGACTCTTAAAACTCTGGGAGATAAAAGCGACAATGAAGTGCCTTCGGAATCAATTCGAAAATCCCCGCGGAAGATAAAACTGATACCATCGCTTCCGGAGGCGTCGTCGAAAAAATTTACTACAAAAAACATAAAGCAAGCCAGTATTAAACTAATTGACATTTTTAAGACGACGAAGATTACTAAAAAGGATAAAGAGAAGGAGAATCGTGCGCCGAATGACAGCAAAAAGAAGGTGACATTCAGTACTGAAGAGCCTCAGGTTCGCGAATTCGAGATAGACCCTGGAAATACCCTGAGAAAATGTATACAAAAGGATGCACTACTCCCACAGAAATTCTCGAGACCTGTCAATCAGCCAGACCCCGCGATAAACAATCCGAAGCTCGAGGAGTTCCTTCTGAAGCTTTTCCACTGGAATCCAGCGTGGTTGAAGGAGCAGTTGGCCATCAAGGAGCCACCACCAGTTGTCGATTATAGTTCCCTGAAGCCCCTGCTCTCAGCCTACTCCTCCTACGACGACTACTACAGGATAACATCTCCACTACTGGCCCTGGAGCTCTGGAATGGAATATCCAAGGACTTCGAGATGGACGAGCAGAGATCCAAGCACCCACCGATCATGGCCTGCATCACGCCTAACACAATCACCAGACAGCCTGTACCCAACACGAATCTCCTAGTCACAACATTTCTCCTGCAGGCTGTAGTCACCAGAGAAGAAATCACTAGGCAGCAGCAACCAGTGGTAGGCGATCTCGTTATCTTCAGGATCGTTCTTCGAAAGAATGAAAATCGCCAGTACCACACGATCTTCGCTTACGTCTCCCAGGTGGATCAGAGAGTCATCACACCCTTCATGAAGTACAATCAAAAATTGTTGGAGCACGTGAAGAACCCTCACACGCTGCTGACGTACTCCGTAATGACTAAACCCCTGCCTAACAACGTCGAAGTTGATAATGTTCAGAAACTCATGACAGTCAGTTATCTCCGATCTAGCATGAGAATGATTCAAGCACTTCAGTATTTACCCGCTTCACCACTCCTCAAACAAATCCTCCAGCCAACAGTCGCCGAGTATCAGCTCCCCAATGTTGGCAATTACGAGTCGTATTCTCTCACGACGAAGGAAAAGCTCAATGCCAAGCAGATGGAGGCTGTGATGAAAATTACGGAAATAGTCGTGAAACGAATTCCCAAAATTTGTATGATTCAGGGTCCTCCTGGCACTGGCAAGTCGAAGGTCATCGTTAATACTGTGACGGAAATTCTTTATGGAAAAAATCGGTATCAGCATCACAAACCCACGAGAATTCTCGTGTGTGCTCCATCCAATGCAGCCATTGACGAGATTGTTCTCAGGCTCATGGATATTCGTACTAATCTGCCCAAGGAGCATCGCTTCAAGATGGTGAGAATTGGAAAGCAGGACGCAATGCACAAGACTGTCAGATCAATATCGGTTTGTGAATTGGCTAAACGCGATGTAGAGAAGACCACTACAGAGTACTGCAATGGACAGAATATGGAGAGCATCGAGGAGGAGAAGAATTTTCTCAAGGCAAGAATCAATGCCATCGAGTCTGAACTCGAGTATTCCAAAGGGAAGGACGAAAATTGTAGACAGTACATAATGAGAAAATTGACTGGTGTAAAAGTCAAGTACGATTTACTGACGAATCCTCGAAGTGTTGAGAATGGAGTCAATCCAAGACAATTGGCCAAACTCCAGAGATCAGCTGAGAATACTATTCTGTCTGGAGCTGACATCATCACCTGCACCCTTTCATCGTGTTACACTAATCAGATGGAGGCGATATTTGGAGGGAACAAGGATAAAATATCAGTTTGCATAGTGGATGAGGCAACGCAGAGTGCAGAGGCTGAAACATTAATTCCTTTGATGCTGGGTGTAAACACTCTGGTGCTCGTTGGTGATCCTCATCAATTGCCTGCCACTGTTATATCTCAGGATGCCAAAAAACTGGGGCTCGATCAGTCCCTCTTTGCCAGGCTGTACAATGCATTTGATGGACAACCAGGAAATCCTGTTATTATGCTCGATACTCAGTACAGAATGTCGTATCCCATCGCCTACTGGCCAAATCGTTACTTTTATGCAGGTGCCCTCAAGAACTCAGCCAATTTGAAATCACTGCCATTTCACTTTTATCGAGTTATCAATCTGGCCTCCAAACAGAGTGATGACAGGTTCTCAAATACCAATGAAGCTGCTTTTATCAAAACTATAATCTTCACGATGATGACGTACTCGAAGCTCGAGACTATGGGAGATGTGCTGAAAGTGGGAATAATCACACCTTATAATAACCAGAAGAATATTCTCAATGGGATGATCAGGGATATGAGTAGTGGGATATCTGAGGATGTTAGAAAGAAGTTTCATATCGAGGTAAATACGGTTGATAGTTTCCAGGGGCAGGAGAGAGATGTTATCATTATGTCGTGTGTCAGGAGCTCGGGAATTGGGTTTTTGTCAGATCGCCAGAGGCTGTGTGTGGCTTTGACGAGGGCCAAACACAGTCTGTTCATCTGTGGAAATTTCCGGACCTTCGAGAGAGACGATATGTGGAAGACTCTCCTGGCTGATGCTAGATCACGTGGGATTTACGTCGATGGTAGTTACGGGGCTGGACCAAATATTGTTAAGAGGTACATTATGAAGGAATCGCGTTGAGTTTTTTTTTTCTCTTTTTTGTGTACATATGTGAATAATTGAGGAGTTGGAGTTTTTTTTACTTATGATTTTTCAAGTCATGTGCAGTTTGTTCTTGGTGCGCGAATTATCGGAATTTCGATAAATTCTTGCGAGGGTGGGGATGCTGTCGATTATTATTGTGAGAGATGATAATAAAGATACCAAGTTTTTCATTTGGATAGGATGGTTTATTTATTTCTTGGAGAATATAGAATTTGGGGAGTTGTCTGGTTGTTATTGTTGATCGATGCAAAAATAAACGCTCCTGGGGGTATCTTTATACATCGATTATTACAATCACAATAAAATTCTTTATATACTAGGTAATTTACACATATTTACATAATTCGTTTTTCATAATTACAAGAGGTATCGAGGCTTGAGATAATTTTGAAAATTATCGGAATTGAATTTTTGTAGTGAAGGGCTACTTGAGGTAAGTCAAATTTCCTGTTTTTGGTAATTATCGATTCATATATGGACTCTTTTCTGGATTTTTCGGACTGTACAGACTATAAGCACTTTATAATTAAACGTGAATGAAAATCTAGTGAAAGTGATTCTTAAAGTGATAAAGGAAATAAATAATATTGTACAAATTATAAGAAAAAATTAAAATAATCGATAAAATTTCGTCAGGGCTTAACGATAGTCTGTTGATTTCTGTAAAAATTCCTAACAAATTGATAATTCTCGTATAAAAATCTCTCCTGTGAAATAAGGCAGTGACTCCTCGTCAATTTGAATTGAAAGGTTCGATTATCCCCATTTTATCACGTGAGGAATTCAATATTAAAAAAAAAATCGTTGAGATAAAAATTGATGGACTTTTGATCGTGAAAGTTCAACAGTCTGTCGATGCTCTCCTGGCATTGTAAATTGTCCCAAAATACAGTTATTCATTTGAAAAATATTTTTTTCTACTTAATGGCAATTTCTCCAGAAGGATATCAACAATGATATCACGGTAATTATCACAGAGGACCGGCTGATTGTCAATGTTGATGATGAGGCGCCCGTGGCCTTCGGGGGGTTCCTGGTCGGTTCCACTGAAAAAAAAAAATCGTTTGAAAAAATGAATACCTATTTTGATTGAATACGAGCGATAGGAAATGATTTTTCAACTATTCCCCAGAAAAGTTTGATTTCACGAGTGGAAGGAGAGGAGAAGTTCTAATTTTGTTCAATGCAATCATGAAACAAGATCCTACTTGGTATCCTGGAATGTGGAGTCGACGCAATTCTCATGATAGGATCATGTGGAATGGATGGTTTTATGGGTACCGGTGCAGGACTCGGTGAATTACCATAGCATTGTCCTAGAAACAGATAAAAACCACTTTAATTAGAGGAACATCGAATAAACCTTAATTAAATGCTGAGGATAATATACATACCTTTCTTGTAGAGACGCATTCCCTCCTTGCGTGGATCGATATCTCGGAGACAATGATCTCCAGCTTCCTTTATGTAAATTTCCTCATCGTTCACTATTAGACCGACGAAACACTCGTTTGTGCTCGTGTCGTTTCTCATGGTGTAAGTGTACATTACTCCTTGCTCTTCCCATTGGCCAAGGCACAGGTATTTGCGTTCTTTAAAAAATGAAAAAAATAATTTTTCCCTCATTAGCAATTAAATAAATTCGTTCGTTAATAAATGGGCCGCGTTGCGCCTGTAGTGGAGAATTTTCAATGGCGCACGATAGAAATTCGTAGAACTCCACACGAAAAATTAAAAAATTAAAAAATAGAAATTGTTGGGAGTGTACCTTCATAGAGCTCTCCAGACTCGCAGTCGGTGACTTTATAATACATGATCTCTTTGGTGAAGCAGTTGCTGCTCAATTCAGCACACGTGCCTGGAAGATCAGGTATCCTTCCTACGTAATGTCCAGTGATGGGACAGGGAGATTCCACGACGCGCTCTAGTCCTGCGTGAGATGAATGCACATTTGTTGTGAATTTTCAGAAATTATGAGGCAAAGGAATTTGACATTTGGGTATGAAACTTACGGGCTTGAGTCATCCAGTCGGATTTATCCAAATGGGGATCGTCACAGAGATAACTCGCGTACACCGGATTCGAAATTATCCCTGTCTTGAACTCCAGGACATTTTCACTCCGTTGGCGCATCATCAGGCAGACGTAAGCTTCTTGTTCACTGACAATCAGAATTATTACGATCAGATCAATAACCCGATCTTCCTGGGTGTATTTTTTTTAATAAAAAATTCGAGAATGCAAATCAATTGATATTTCTATGAGAAATTCCTCACCAATGATCTTTGGAAAAAACTATATATTTCCCAGTGTCATGATTTGAGTCAACAGTGACAAAAGTGTAGCTGTGGTATCCATTCAGATCATTAAAAGTCATCGTACCATTCACAATGAGGGACTCCTCCCACTCGCCTTGTGCCCACTTTGGATATCTATAATTAATCCAATAATTACTGGCAATCGCAATATCGAAATCGAGAAAATACCGCGATTTCAAATTTTTCATACACAATAAAGTGAAAAAAATATGGAAAACATGTAATTTCATGAAATTAAATTGAAAACAATTAGAAATCACGAATGAAAATAATGGAAATGTCATTTTTAAAATCGATTGGATTTAAAGTGGCAGCTGTAAGTTCTGAAGGAAAAAAAAAAGAAATTAGTAATTGAATTCACGTACGATGCCAAGTGTGTGGAAACATACGACGGCATTTTCTTTTGATTGGGGGCTTTGCTGAGAACAAGTGTCTCATATCCACTTGTTGAATTTTCGAGATTCTCAGTGCAGCTGGAATCGCTGCTAAACGCCAAATACGTTTTTCCCTTTTTATTATCAACGTGATACAGCTGCAACGATACAAGTGGATAGTTAGTACAAGTGTTTGAATTACACTTTCATGTTTGAGATAGAGAGGGACTGACCCCACATCGATATTGCGGCCGACGTTCACCTCCAACTCTGGTATCCAATAGAGCAATATACCGAGAGCCGTGGGGTCCACCAGGCCAGCTTCCCAGGCAATTAAAGGTAATGTCTGAAAAATAAAATGCCTCGTGAAAAATTCACTCAATCATCATTAATCCAACGATTAGACAAGAATTTGAGACACATTTCACATCCATCCCCACTGATTCCAGTTAATTATCCGTTAATTATCATTTTAATTGTGGAGAATTCTCATTAATACGCGGATAATTAATTCGACGATTTTATTGAATTCGAATTCGGGAGTTAATCGGGAATTCGAAAAGCTGCGAAAAAATTGCAAACGTTTCTCGCGGTTTAAATGATACTTTATGTTTATATGCAAATAATTGTGGACTATTCATGAAACGAGCCGGAAAAATTAACTGCCTCATGAAAAATTCACTGAATCATCATTATAAACGGTCGAGCGATTAGACAGAAATTTGAGACACAATTTCCCTTCCATTTTTGCTGACTGCCTTTAATTATCCGTTAATTATATTTAATCAACAATTAAATTTTTCTCATTAAGCCGAGAGTCAAGTTTAACATCTAAATAACAGCTGATGGTTCTTGAAACAAGTCGTAAAAATCAATGCCCACGGAATGGCGCGTAAAATTCGCGTAAAAATAAAGAACGACTGGCATTGAGTCCTGAATTTATCGATCGTCCCGGTGAATTAATGATCGAACAGATGAAATTATTCAGGCACATCCCCCAAATGGTAATGCCTCATGAATGCAATCCTGATGACTATCGCTGATAAGATTAATACTCGGTAGCAGTGGCTCAGTCGTGTAAATAAGACAATCACATAACCGAACAGACACGAATTATTCACGAATAATCGATGCTCACTTAGATCGTTTGATGTGCTCGTTCTATTAGCACTGATCATCGTACCATGATTTTCGAATGAGCATCTCTTGAACTGCAGATGGAAGATGGATCCGTCTGGACAATTGTCCAGATCCGACGAGAATGTGTTGCACTCGACTTTCTCTTCGGATCCATCATTTATGTCATATTTGAAATGATATTTGCCGGCTATCGGGCAAAATTCATTTCGGATTGGAACACCCCCGAGCTCTTTGGTACCTGGAAAAAAATTTTCATTATTTTAATTCGTTATCGATTTATTACTAAAAACGAAAATTCATAATTTTCGAAATCTTGGAAAATGGGATGATTAATTATTATTATTGACAAATAAAAAATCCTGGAATTCCTGGATTATTAATTATTATTATTGACGAATAGAAAATCCTAGGATTCCCAGAAGACATCCTGGACGTAATTGCCACCATTACTGGCCCTTTGAAATGAAATACAGGAGAATAGAAATTTTGGGGATTAAATGGTTTTTGATGGCACAACGTGAGAGCTGCATTGAGAAAGAATTTTGATTGTGCATTGAGATTTGGTGAAGAATAAGTGGCTCGATGAGAAGTGCCTCCCATGAATTGGTAGAGGACTAGTATCCAGTGGCCAGACAGGAAGTAGTTGAAACAGCACACCACATTCCTCTTTTCTCACGTAAAAGGGTCCCTTCCACCCACATCTTCATATCGTCCCTTCATCTCTCAGCCCCTCCAACTTCATCAATTTTTCACCACTGCGAATATGTTTGGCAACAGATATATTCCAGATTTTTTGTGGGCTCTTCACCCTCAGTGGGGTAACCCGATCCACTGACTTTGGTTTCTTCCGCACGTGTAAAATCGATGGGGTGATTATTCTTATTTCATTTTGTCCTGAGGTTTTCGAGTCAAATCAATTTTGCGGGGTCTAATGGCTCTTGTAGCTTGATACAGAATTAATTCGCTGGGTGTGTATCGATTCCGGGGGGACTTACTTGAAATTTCACCCGAAAATGTCTCATACATCTTTGAGAATTTCCTTCAACGCAAAAAAATATATCCTATTTATTTGAAAATAATAATGTAACAATATTTTTTGGGGATAAATTGGGGGGAATTGTAATTGTGAAGTTGTGAGTAATTTCTCAACGATTTGGTACTTGAATGCAGACTTGAAGTGGATTTGAGAATAAGAATGAAATTCTCCCAAGGGTTTTTGGGGCTGAGTCGAGTCGAATTGTCGTGATGCTCTTTAGGAATGCGAGTACCTTCCTGTTCGCTCTCTTCAGGTATCTCTCTCACCCCCTCAGAACCGGACGCGATTTCGTTTGGTCACGGACAAGGTCGTTACTCGACAGGTAGCACAGAGCATGTAGTTGTGGTAGCAAACAGCTCTCATTCATCTTTTCCCCTTGAAAATTTTTTTCACTCCATCCTCTACCTGTTCCTTTTCAACTTTTCGCTTCATTGATCCCAATGCGCGCACAAACTCCACTTTTTCGGCTCATTCGTTCGTGAAACTCTGGTGGTAGCGCGGGGTCAGGAGAGGAAATGCCTGTCTCGACAGGAAATGAGGGGACCGACGTGCGCCGATGATGAGAATCAGGGAAATTGTGATGATGGAGTTTTGCGTGACAAGGGGTTTTGAGAATTCTGGGAGTCGTGGGTATCTTTATGATCTTACAGTGGTGATAAGAATGTGTGTCCTTAAAGCTTAATTGGGTCTTCAGGGCAATTAGCGGGTAAACGAATTTAAAGGGATAACGAGGAGTTATTAAAACGGAATTCCAATCGTTTCGTTGTTCACTCTAATTACTGGTTTGTTATCACTGCAATCGACACGAAGAATTGAAAATTAAGATAAAAATAAATTGTGAATGAAATTTTCATCAATCAAATAAAAACTTATAAAAAATATTTTTAATATTCTCAATCCGCATAAAAATTTCGTTCTCCACTTATCACCAACTAAACTCCTATCCCCACTGATAAGAGCTTTAATTGTGTCTTAACGACTAATAAAACTACCAGTAAAATCTCCAAAAGAAGTTATTAAAACCCTCCGGGGATTTATAAAGCATTAATGAATCCCATTACAAATTTAAAATGATTACAATCTCCATAAAAATTTGATTGTATTGGAATCGTCTGTTGCAGGAGTTGGGGCACTCCCACGCCTCGGCACTTGTACAGGGTGCGGCACAGGGATTCGTGAAAAAAAAAAAATCCTCCGAGAAAATGAGAAGAAAAAGGAGCTGATGGAAACGAAGAGGAACGTAGGCTGATATTACAACAGCGACAACGATAGAATGAAAACGAGTGAGACCGATGTATAATAGAAAGGTAGGAATACCTGGGGGATTCGAGGTGTGTTGGTGGTCCTGGCGTGTTTTGTCGACGCGACGAATATTTCACAGGACTCTCTCACTCCCGAGGATCTTATACTTTTGTGATTGTAATTCCCGAGACCGGTGTGCCCCATCCGAAAATTCAAACAACCGTTTGTTCCCGCATTTTTTTTTTTAATCTCAATTTCTCCGCTTCGGGGATTATTTTTGTTGACTGAGTATCAGGGTGAGGTGACTTCGGAGAACTGGAAGGACTCATTGGAAAAGGTTACGCTTCCATGGAGCCGAGAAATTAACCACAACTTTGCTGCATCATTCCAGTCTATAAATTGGTAATGATTATGGCGGTGTGGGTTTGTTTCTGAAGCCTGGGAAACCTTTTTCTTGTACTCAGAAAATGGTCAGGCTTTACCAAAGCTGTCGGTTTCATTCAAGTTGATTTTTTTACTTGATACAAATTGATCTTTACACTTTGCTCGAGTCGATTCGGCTTGAGGCGTTGGTTGAGGGGATTATTCACTTAATTATCAAGAGCTTCTGTGCAGGCGATAAAGAACATGCACATGTCCCTAAAAATACGATAATTCGGTGCATAAACTAAACGAAAACCTCTCGATAGACATCTGAGCATAACGAAGCAGTTGTGATGATCATTATGCAAATACCAGGTAATATCACGCACACTGGTATTTTAATTGACGAAATCCGTGAGAAAAAAGGGAAAAGGATCGACTTATCATAAATGAAGGTTGAAGAAAAAATGGGTAATTGTGCCTTCACAATGCCCCGAGCTAATTGCCATTTTCTCAGTATCTCCATTATTGCGAGAGTATCGAAACCTTTTTTTTTTCTGGTCTATTGAATTTCATGGCACTTCTTGAGTCAAGTCCACTATTACTTACGGTAGAGAATAGCTCTGGTGTTGAGATGCTCGCAGGTGGAGATCGCACTTTTCTCGTACGTGTAGCACTTGTTGAAGCCCTCGGAGAAGACCTCTATTATGTTGCGAGAACGTCGGCTCAGGCGAAAACACCTGATGCATTCGCCATCGTCATATCTGTTGGCAGATAAATTACCGATATTTGCGTTTTAGCTGGTGGAAATATTTTAGAGCGGGATGAGAACTTCGGTGAGACGAGTTTCTTTTTGTGTTGAATAATTTTGCGAAACATTCATGAAAATATAAATTATTCATGTTGATTCAATACGGAAAATATGGATTAATTGAATTAATTCAGTCAAATGGAATATTCGAACTTGAATTAGAAAAAAAATGCCTCAAAAAATAATGAAAAATCCCCTCAAAAAAAAATAAAAAATCTCCTCAAAAAAAAAATACAAAATCCCCTCAAAAAAAATGCAAAATCCCCTCAAAAAAAAAAATCAAAAATCCCCTCAAAAAAAATATGTATAAAAAATTATTTAATTAAATGGATTAATAATATCGGTGGACTATTTGATTTAATGGTGAATAAAGATTCGAATCATCTCCGAGAGAAAAATGGGAGAATTAATTTTTTTTTTTTCGATTGTTCCTGCTGCGGTCGCTTGTTAAAAATCACACGTGAATCACTATATCATATACATTATGCGGCAGGGGCGTGTGTAGAGGGCAATTTATGCATTCTTTGCTGGAACAACACCCACACTCGGGGGCCTTTTCCGTGGAGTCACTCCTATCTGGCAAATAAAAAGGCCCGAACGTTGGGCCCTCCTGGGGAATTTCTCACCGGTCTTTCCGGATTACACGTTGTTCCACTCTCAGAACGTGTCAAATCGCCCGTTAAAAATTAAGTAGAAATTAAGATACGAGGGCGGACGACACCATCAGTTCCAGAGTGTTGATAAAAAATTAATCAGGGGAGGGATTGAGTGGGAAATAATTGCAGTCTGTGAATCGCCAGCTCGCAGTCGTGTAAAACCACTTGATTAATTTTGGAATTTTTATTTATTCTATCGCTTCGATTTTCATTGGAATTTCTCATCAATTTTGAAAATTGATGATTGATTTTGCGATTGTTAGTCTTTAATTGGAATTTCTACTGTCTGAAAAAATCTAGAATTAATTTAAAATATTGACGATATCTTGTATTCCCTAGAAACGATATGCGGGCAAAAAGAAATTTCGCCAAACATTTTAGAACGAGTTTTGCCGATCTTCCGATCTATTCCTGTCGCCGCCTGCTCCGACGGCCCGGCGTGGCATCCTCCACGGGAATGTAGTACTGTCGCTAATAAGAAATCTTTTTTTTTCTATTAAAGGGATCCTTTGCACTTGAACCGAGTGCCAGTGAAGGGCTCTCATTTTCCGAGGGAGACAGATCCCCGAAATTTGTCAGTGAGATTTATTACGGTTAACTCGGTATTCTAATTCCCTCCCTAGACATTCATAATTATTCTCAATTTCTCAATTAACTTCTATTAACTCCGCAAAACAAGAATATGCAAAAACAATTTATTTTCCCCAATTTAAAACGTTCGAGCAATTTTTGTGCGTTTTTTTGTGGATTTCCGACAGAAATGAGAAACCGATATAATTAAAAATCTTGATGACCTTGTGACTGGCGCTCAAAGAAATTTCCAAAAGCAGTAAATTAACTGGTAATTAAAGGTAATTATTTTTCATAGCGTAAGTGTACATGAGGGTAAATTTCATTGGTAATTTCACTCGGTGCATGTACAAATTGTGAAATAGTATGACATACTTGTCGACAAGTAGAACATTCTCGCCGATTCTCTTGTGACAATATCCCCAGACAGGTATTGAGTCATAGGTGATATTGACTGTGGAGTACTGTATCGGCTCGCCGGTATTGCTGGACCCCCTGGCCCCGACACCGCTCACCTGCATCACGAATTCCCCCTGGAATTCCGCGGGGAAATAGCAGCGCGCCATGAACTGCGGATCATACCCTGGTAATGTCTCAGCTGCATTCATCGAGACGTCTGAAATTATAACGGCATCTATAAATATCCAACCGATTAATAACACTGTCACTCGCTCCAGCACAGCTCTAGCATTAAAATCCCGAGAAGAGGCAAAACCCAGGACTCTTATCTAAACCACCATCGACAGGTGAGAAATTGAGTGCATAATCATCATCCGGTATTAATTAATCGTGAGATTTTTGCTGGGAGATTCATCTTCGCCGGCGCGGCAAAAAGTGCGTAGGTAAGAAAATTTTTTTTTTTTCCTTTTTACCAATCATCCCGCTGTTACACTCGTGTTGTCCTCATAAATTCTCAGATTCACTGATTAAGACACGGGGGGGAGAGGCGACAGATGCGAATGACATTTTTTTTTTATTCGTTTAATTCTGCGGGGTAATTAATTAATCCGCGGGGAGACGCATTAATTGGGGGACAGGGTCATGTGAAAATTATTCGCTAAATCGAGGTCAATTAATTTCACTTTTCTCTAGTTCAGGACACTCTCAGACCGGATGTCATCACGCACAAACCTTTCATGTTGATTTAATACAATTATGTGTTTTTTTTTTCAGGGAGTTAATGGCAAATTAAGTGATGGGGTGCATTTTTTGAAGATCTACTGGCGATAAGCACCACGAAAAGCTGATTAAAAAATTACTCTCCGTATGTATATATCATTAATTTCATGCAAATAATAAATATAATGATTATTTAAAATGGCTAACTGCAGAAATGTGGAATGAATTAATTACACTGTTGTAAAATAACGTACGAGTCGTTGAAAATAAATACTTTTTAATAGAGTGTTGCGACGATCGTAAATCGAGTGCGAAAATCATAAAGACCCCTCCCACAAACTGAAACAAGTGATATACAACTGCGTATCACCCGTGCACATGCTTAACCACAGCATGAAAGGTCATTAGCGCAGAATCCGTTATTAAATGGTCACGATGTGGTGGCAGGTGCAGACTTCTGCGAGGATTTTTGCAGACTGGCTTATGGCCACTCGAGACCACCAGGCTCGTTTCAACAGAATAAACATTCATAATCCCATTAAATCCCCCCAAAAAGAAATTTTGACACTTGCATGACAGTTGTCCAATTTTCAAAACCAATAATTTCCATCAACAATTTTTTTCACAACTGACTTGTCATTTTTTTCTCTTCCCGGTTTATGGAATTAATATTAAGGATTTGACGTGGAAGATGATGGAAAATATTTTTCTGCATTTGCAAAATGAAAAATGGACAACTGGAATTTTTATTTGGGTGAGAGGTACACACCCTCTTCTACCCAGGAGTAAATAGGGCGGACTGAACAAAAACATCTCCGAATCATCTGGGCGGAACGCGATAATGACGCCGAGAATTTAAGTTTTTATTTCTCTTTATTTCTGAAGCTCTTTGTTTTCTCGCCTTTTTTTTTCACGGTCATTCTATGGTCCAGACGACTAAAAAACGATGGACGGTCGCGGGAATTTTTGGGGTGTCGCCGTGAGAGTCGGACGAAATAATTTCACGCGACGAATTGATCCGCCTCTCGAGACATTTCATCATTCTTTGAATTATTTTTCTACTACGCCTGTGAGAATTATTTGAATTTACAATAACAACTGCATCTGAATTCCCAATGACAATTCACTTTGAAATTCAATTGCCAGTGAAAATTCTCATCCGTAAAAATTCGTGAATTGGTGAAAAAAAATTCTGTCAGTTTATTATTTAATCCTCCGGAAATGAGTAATCTGCTCTTAAGAATTTAATTTATTTTTACCAATTCCAAAAAACACCAGAATTCCCGGTATGTTATTCAATAACGCAAAAACGTGCAGCAAAATGTGGAATTAAATTTTACGAAGGTTGTGAGGCAATAAATAAATACATGATGTTCGGTTGCTCGAGTTGAATGGTTTATGGACGAAGGGAGGAAGTGAAGGAAAAAAGTAGCAGACCCGGTTGTATGTCGGGTCGATGCCAATTTCATTGAAGATTGCCCCGAGATTCGCTCATCGCCGGAAGTTGATACGAGTTTTTGCCGGGTTTAATGCACTTTTTCGTGGTAATGCCTTATAAATTAATGAGTGATGATTTCCTTAGGCTGTCCGACCAGGAGGTGCTCAAAAAAAAAATGTTCAGGTATCCATGTGTCCGAATTTCACCTATCACCAGGATATCACGATATCATATCACGAAATCACGAAATCGACTTTCTGTTCAATTCCTTATCATTATTATATTATATTTATTTATATTTCCATAAATAAATAAAAATTCATGAATTAAAAATAATTCTTCTTCTCTCCGTGTGACAGAGACTCGTTCTCATACAATGCAACAATTTTAGCTGAGTCTAAAGTCTAGATGTATTGTAATCCCACCACTCCCTTTTACAGTTGTCTCACCTCGACCTCCACATTTACCTCCCTCTCACTCCAGGGTGGGTAATCTGATAGAATAGCGTGGGAATAATATTTTTATCGTCAAATTAGATATTGACAAGTGGTTTCCACCTTGAGCAATAACAGCAATTTTCGTTTACCAGGGAGAACTCATAGTGTACGTGACGGGCTTTATGTGGGATTCACCTCAACTCTACTCAAACCGCAGAACCGCTTTTCCTCGTGGCGTTAACCAGACTTCCTACACAAGAGTTTTATGTTTCTCACATCTCGTATTTCCGTGTCGCTTCATCTTCATTTTTTTTTTATTCCAGCGTCTCGGGTGAGCTATGATAACATTCCTCGCTGGACAAGTGTCTCCCGGGTGACCGCTCGAAATTTTCTTCACTGATAATATTAATCCTCGAAATATTATCATGTAAATGTAGCAGTTCGTATGTTTTTTTTTTCTTGTTATTGTGTAGCGAGAGCGAGAAATTTTATCCAGCCAAATATTTTCACCGGATTTTACTCCCCGACGCTTTTTGCGCCCCGCGAATTGCTGCCTTATTCTTCCAACCGGAAGTTCGCTATTAGCTGGATCTTGTCTGCTCTTCAGATCTAGAAGCATTTAATTACCGGTTTTTTTTGTACTCTTTTCTCTTTTTCATCAACGGGAGATGGTTATGGAAAGTCCACGTGTGTGGGGCACGCGTTGCTCTGCGGATTTTTTTCTCCGCATTTTTTGGGTTCGAGAATGGAATTTTTTTCTCATTTACAATTGCATGAGATAATTCCTTCAGTGCCCATTTTAAATTGAAAATCCAGGGAAATTATTGCTGGAATGTTCAAGGGTGTATGGCTTCACAATTATAAATAATCAGACTGATAATTGTAATGAAATTCCAAGAGAATTCTAAATATACTTCGACACACTCGGGATTCATTAGTCAATCGTTCCATAAGTCAATTTTTTGCTGTAATTATGACAACATCAAAGAGATCACAGTGGTAACCTCTAATTTCCCACCTAGAAACCTGAATCGCTGGTCAGAGCCGAATAAAAAAAAAATCAACGGAAGAAGTGAAGGTAACGATCATTCACAAAAAATGAAAAACTGATTGGATAATTGAGGTCGTCCTCTAAAAAATAGTAGTGAATCTAGATGTTTATCGGAGTTTCCTACAGGAATTTAAAAAAATAACTCGAAGACAAAACGTAAATGCGTAGAACACAAATCGCATGACCTGCCTGCGTACCTTGATTACACCAATTACGTCTAGCTGTAAAACAATAAAGACTACCTGAGTAGCAAAGATGAGGGTTTACCCGGTTTACACCCAGGAGTACGTCGAACTCAAGGGGTACAATACCCAGGTCTCTTGAATAGTATTGGTGGTTTACTTCCGTTCATCAGTGAATTATTAAATAATTGCTGAGCTATTCTGAATGTGGATGGTAATGTGAGCGCGGGGAAAGCGTGACGAGTGAAGAAAACCAAGTTTTGTAATGATGAGAAGCAAATAAAATTGTTAAGTCAATTCAAACCGAAAAGTATATCACAAATTGAAAATTCATTCTAAATAAAAATTGCAAAATTTGTGAATGAATCTGAAATTATAGAAGAGATCATTCATGAATTTAAATGAAGATTCAATAAATTCATGGAGTAATTCATTAAAATAATATTGCGATTGAATATTTGAATTAAGTAGAGTCAGAAAGGAAAATTGATTGGTCAATTGATTCGTCAATTGGAATTTATGGAATTATTCAGTTCCACCGGACGAATAAGGAGGATAAACCAATTTATCCAATGGTCGCGGTATCTCATTTTTATGATAAATGACGCGGCAAAAAGTGACCTCGAGTGTGTCGTTTTCGTCTGTCCATAAGTTTTATCCTCTCCTTTGTACATCCTCGATTTCTCCCCGAGGATGCGCCATATGGTCCACGGCATCCTCTCCCTCCTCATCCTCTAATGACGGGACGAACCGTTGTGCCTCCATTCGACATACCTTGCATATAATACTTCGCTTTTATTACGATCATCCACATATTCAGTATACACCCCCATAAATCAGTGATTACAATAAAACAAGTGATGATTTTTTAAATTAATTGGTATAAGAATAAATAAATAAGAAAGAATAAATTATTTCCGCGGTGCATCAAAGTGGAACAATTTCCCTGACAGTTTTCGCCACCGGAAGTTCATTGGGACAGACTGAATTCTCAGAACAAGACCTCATCTTTATAGGTACCTCTGTAACCCGAAACATTATATCTCGTACAATTTTGGGAACCGGCCCCAGCAAGTTTATGCCCACTTAACCGTTTTTACCCGAAAAAAAAAAACGGTAATAATGAACCGAGGGAGAGACCGAAGTCGGATGTTTGCACCAAAGAGAAAAAAAAAATTGAGAGCCAGAACTTTCCAAATTTCCCGTCACTCTCGAATTTATAACTTCCGGAAATTTCAAGCGAAAAATACTCGGCATATTCAAGAACAATTCCGATAATTTTTTGTCGTTGAAGAATCGAGAGCACCGGATGACGCTGCGGTTCATTCCTGGGGTGAGACTTCCTCTCGCTTCTTCGGGTTCGACCTCTCCACATCACTCCAATCATCC